TGTATTTTTCCTGCAGCACCTCATTGAGCATCATTTACTTACCATATATTTTATCCTTTTTGCATTATTGGGATTCACATACCTACCTTTTAGACTCTTTCCACTCTTTGTGTTTAACTTTAGACACTTTATTTTAACTTATATTATGAGTGAGTGTGTGCCCAAGTCATTTATCTTGTGGATCAATGAAGTGTGTCTTGTCTCTAAGTCTCTAAGACACTTTTAGTCAAAATATTGTTCAGAAACATCACAGTCATAGTATGGTAAAGTTTCCAATAATGAGTTTGTGCTAAAACCTTTAATGTATAATAATTGGGCTAGGTTGTAATATTAGTTTTTCAAGTTTCCTTACTACTGTTCTTGCACTCCTTGCTCTTTGTGTCCTTAGCTGTCTTTCTCATAATATTTCTCCTCTCACTTGACTCCTTGCGGTTTTTCCAGTAGGATAGGCACACTCCAGGAGTCTGTTTATATTATACAATGTCTTCCAATACTGTAAGGGAAGAACAGAAGCATTCAGCTCAAAGATCATAGCATAAACCAATTTTGTAGGTCATGGCTTTATTGTAAATGTTTTTTGATGTATATTAAGCAGTAATTGTAAGTAAGCCTGCTTAATGAGGGGCCCTTTAGATATTCCTAAAAACGCACACTGAAAGAGATTAATCTGATAGATAGTAGATATCAGATTTCAAGGATATTAATAAACTTGGCATAAGAGCTATTTCAGTTCATTTAACCTTGCAACTACAGTTGTTAATGTTTACAAGCAGATGTCTGATGTCTGTTAAGAGCCAGACATTTTCCTTGGCTGTGAGGAAAGACCTTGTGAAAGTTTAGGTCCATTGAATTCAGCTACACCCAAAAGGAAACAAACAGTCTGCTGTTGCTCCCGGCGCGGTGCATCACCTTCTCCGTGTTTGGCCTGCCACCGTATTCCACTGTTTATGAGGATAATTATCCACTCTCAGCCTCTGTTTGGAATGAACCCAGTTTGAGTAGAGAGAGGAAAGCTCAAAATGTCAGGGAAAGAAAGCAGAAGGCACGAGACCATGTCGGAGGAGTTGTGAGTGGAGACCAAAGGAAGTATGAAAATCCACCCATTTCCTTCACGTCAATCTTCACCAGATCATCCAGAGCCTGAACACACAATCAACACCTTCCACACAGAAAGAACATTCTCACCACTTTAAGAGGAAGATGGATTATACATTTGTGCTATATTCATTTCACATTCAGGCAAGACAGGTTTACTGTATGTGTATAGCACAGTTCATACACAACTTGGTGAAAGTGAGGCAGGCGAATCCTTTTCAGAACCTTTCCTCTTTATCAACAACTTGTTCCACCGGCTACATAAAATGGGTTTTGTCATTTCCTTGGAAGTAAAAAGATTGTGTTGTTGTTTTAGGACAAATTTTAATAACTCAACACAGCTTCATCATACTTATGTTAAAAATATTGTTTTTGTCTCAGAATTGTATTGAAATTGGTGTCGGATGTGCAACAACTGGACTCTAGGTGTCACTAGGGGTGGGAACCTCAGGGTACCTCACGATACAATACGATACGCAATACAAAGCTCACGATAACGATTATATCACAATAACGATTATATCACGATAACGATTATATCACAATAACGATTATATCATGATAACGATTATATCATGATAACGATTATATCATGATAACGATTATATCACGATATGACAATTATCGATATATTGGTCAGAAATATACCATATGCCAATTTATAGCATAAATAAAAGAAAAATGTTAACTGAAAAAATACACTTTATTTCTTATTTCATGATAAATGGAATGGAGATGCGTAATGTAGTCATATATTAAGTATTAATACTAATTTTAAAAATATATATATCTTTTTCTAAATCAATACTTGGCAAATGCATATCGATAATCGATCGCGGGAGCAAGTATCACGATATATTGCTATATCGATATATTGTCACACTCCTAGGTGTCACAGTAACCGGTATAGGCGGCACCCTCTGCAAAACGTGTTGGCGGTAACAGTAACCGTTTCAATTTTAAAATACTGTGCTACCTTGGTAGGTTACCATGCCTATGGTGTGGACACTATGAGCCTTTCCATAAGTCTGCTGAAGTTGTTTTAAGGTTGTGAAACCCCTCACCTCAAGCCCTGATGTCCGTAGACAGCTGCACACTTCCTCTAGTCCACTGACCAGTGCACACTTGCTATGAAGTCTGCAGCCCGACTGCAGTCTGCAGGAATGACCACCGCTGTGGCTGGATAGTCAGGCCTAAATCTAGAACAATATTATTATCTGTTCCCATAATTATAAGGAAACGCCTAATTATGTATTAAGTTTCAATATTCATATAATATAAATATTAATAAAGTCACTACAGGGGCGACAGTAGCTCAGTTGGTAGAGCATTGGCCTTAAGGCCAGAAGGTCGTGGGTTCAATTCCCACCTCTGCACCTTCTCCACCGACTCCCACTGATGACTGCTGTCGCTGTATCCTTGGGCAAGACACTTAACCCCACTTTGCCCAAAAGCCCCCACTGAAAGATCAAGGCTATGCTCACACTCAGAGAGCAGCCGTCCTCCTGTGGACTCACCACCTGCAGAGGGTCAGTGAGGGGCTGGTGCTATGAGACTTGGGTGGCATCTCTGACTGCCACCCCCCCTGACCCAGAAATTGATTAAAGGGTAGAAAATGGATGGATGGATGGATGTTACTACAGTAACTTTTTTGCTTTCATACATAACCAAAAGATTGGCTGAAGGTGGTCCTCTCTTCTTACGTACTTATGTTTTATGGTTCCTAAGGTGAAAATATATGATAGTAATGAAAAATATTGGTAATAACAAAAAGGTATACGAAGAGAATCTTTAGTCATTGTCAGCTATAATATTCATACTAGTCTATATTATCCATAATTCTGGTTGTGATTTCCACATTAACCACGTTTTTCCTTTCCCTTCCGTGCATCACACATTGGCGCTGACTATCTTACCGTTTTCAGTAGATTTCAGACGCAAAACCTATTGTCAGCCCATTTCTCCTACATCTGATTCCTTTTCTGTTTCTGAGGTTTTGCTTAAGTTTCCAGCTGCTGCAGACTAAATGGAGGAAACAGGCGAATTTATGGAATACACTTTTACCTTTAGCACAGTGTATCCTAAGCCCTGCGTTGCAACAGAGAAACAACCCCATCATGTGGAAGTCTTAAGGAAATAATGTCTGTAGACAAAAAAAATGAATCACTTTCCACAGTTTATTTTTAAAATAATTCATACAAATGCATACTGTCACAAACATCTCTTTGTCAGTTTGTCATTTTTGACCAAAAATAATGATATTTACTGAATATAATATGTATACTGTATATTGCTACTCCTACTACCTAAACATGAAGGGGACCAAAGTTGATAACAGTGGACTGTGTGTTGCATACAGGGATTGAATGTTATAGCTCAGAATTGCATTTTTCATACATCCTCTCTATGGCAGTGATCCCTTACCATTGAGCCAATATCCATGGTAAAACTGTAAGCACCTCCAACTTTTTATATTCAATTTCAACACATTTTATATTCAAGTGTCATTTCTTCAGCCTATGTTCCAGTAACTTTTTTTCAATTCATTCTGATTCTCACAAAACAAGGTAACAAGCTGTGTTTTACACTTTCTGTAATCTGGATATTCACATATAAATAACTGATTAAATTCATAAGATGCTCAGGGCCAATTATATATCCTTGTCTGCAACACATACTACCTCAGCAGCTGAGAGAAGGGGAACCACACATTATAATAGAACTTTCATATGTACCTTGATTGAATGTTGTGTTTTGTATTTGAAGTTTTACATGCTTTGGCACCTGGTCCTCACCTCTTCTCCCAGAGCTGTTTTTGAAAACACGGATACAACCAAGTCACATAAACGCAGGCAGGCAGTACATATCTACACATAGACACAGAGGCCACAGATGGTGGCTAAATGGTATACTCAAGCGGACCCATTTCAGAATAATATTTTGTAATTGTGCCATAACCATTCATTTATTTTGTCATTCAGTGCACATAGATCTGTGAGATTGTGCTGTTTTACAGCAGAAATATGAAGAAATGTCATTGCATTAACAAAAAAAGTTTTAAGTCATGTAAGTTTTTTTTTTTAAATTTTAACAATACATGTCTATCCTGAAAAGCACACCATTTGGTCACATACCTTAGCCTTTCCTCTCACACCCCCACAATTTTGGACAAACATTTACACATGTCCCAAGAGCTAAATAACATGCTCCTTAACAAAAATAAATGGGCAAACATCAAACTTTTTCTTGTAATGTTGTCAGACACAACAAAGGCAAGCAGGTAGAAAACAGAAGCACTGCGGCATAAAATGAATCTTAAAAAATAAAACAATAATACCCACTGCGGAAACTAAATTTCCTGAGATGGTGTGCAAAGGCTGCCTCTTCTGGGGGCTTGTTAATTCAGGGACTTCAAATTGGGTATTGTATTCTAAAATCAGTGTGGCTACATAGTGGAAATATATGCACCCATGATTTTTCTTAAGACTTGAATACAATGACCTGTATTTCATTGCGGCACGTCTAAAACTGTACACAAACAGGTTACATTCATTTCATAACCTACTACTTGCTTATCTATGAACTTAGGAAGTGACACATATGAAGAGACTTGAAGTCGGGACACTTGGACAGTCTAAAACGGCAGAATAAATCCAGTATTTTGATTTCCACAATAATGCTTAGGTTTATATAACCTGGCTGGGTGTCTCCTTACTCTGTCTCCTTTTAGAAGCGTAAACAGTCTGTTTGCAGAAAAGTGGTTTTGGAATTATCATCCTGGAACTTGACATCTTTGGATCTGACTCTGTTAGATAACAATTTGTCAAGATGATCTTGCTGCCACTTCATGCACAGATCTTTTGGTCACCAGACACCCGAAGCCGGTGTGTTTGTTTTGAAGGTAGCTACAGTTGGTCGTTTGGGTGCTGCTCTCTGTCTCCCTCTGGTGGCTTGACAGTGTTCTGCCCTGGCGAAGGTGCATGTGGAGGGTGTGCGACAGCAGGAGGAAGAGTATGCGTGATGGGAACTGTACTGGGCACAATGCCTTCAACAGGGGGAGGGAGCCCTCCGGCAGGTAAGCTCACTGCTCCAGAGGGGTACCTGAAAGGACAGGCCAAAACACCTTGGCAAATGGGAACATTTAGGAGGTAAAATAAATAGTTCTTTGAAAGCAGAGAATTTAGAAGAACATTGATTGTTTTTTCATTCAAATATAAATGTTATGGAATAAATTAAAGATGGTAAAAGATAAAGTTTATTGTAATTTGAGTTTTGTATTGACAGTACTTCATCAGGTATCAGGGGTTTTTTATATTGGTGAACCTGCTGTATTGATGATTTGGCCTTTCAATGGATGTAATGAGAGTATTTCTATCAATTTGTCTATCGCCATTAACTATTTCCTCCTAGAAGGGTGGTTGACGACAGGAAGAAATTTGATCATACATCATCCACATTCACACCTCTAGCAGCACTGCCCCCGGGTGCCACCATGGCTGGATCATAACCCTACCTTACCAGTAAGATTATTGAGACTAGGCTGATTCAAACCCAGAATGTCATAAATAAAGATCGTCTCTACAGCAGCTCTGCTTGTGTATGAGTCTCTCCAGGGCCTCGCACCAGAGAACATCCGTGACATGAGTCATATGAATCAACTCGGACTCTGAGGAGCACAGGGACTGGTCTACTGCTGTTGCCCCGAGTCAGGACTAAACATAGGGAGGCAGCATTTCAAATTTATGAAGCTAAAATCTAAAAAAGTCTTCCTGAAACATATTTTCAGGACAAACAAAAGATTCTTCAAATCCAGGTTAAAAACAGCTCTATACTGTATGTCAATACAACTGAAAGATTGTATTGTCACAACATATTGTATATATTGTATATACTTTGCCTTGCCTGTATATAAAAATGTGTTCCTTCACTGCCCTAACTTTTAAGCTTAACATAGCACATACTGTATTTGATGTAATTACGGAGGCTTTTGAATGGGTGAATTTCCTCCAGGTGCTCCGGTATTCACAACCACTGAAATTTAAAATGAGAATTGGGTGCAGTGCACCAATGAGCACTGTCCCTTTTTTTCCTGTTCTTTTTTCACGTGTTCTCGCCGCCTATGCTGAAATGTCCTGCTACAATGTTTCAGACACCTGTTTGCCTGTGGTAGGTGGCCCTCTTCCTCACATATTTATGCAGAGATCACTTACCAGACATTCAAATCACCTCATCCTCCTCCAACATGCTGTTTAATATGGAATGTGAGCTCAGAGTGAATGCATACCTACACAATAAATATTTCCTACTATTTTGGATATTGGATAAAGTTGGATTTTTCTGATGTGCTGTGTCAGTGGTGCTGCTCTCTGATTTGTTGACTGCAGAAATGTTGCTGCAGAAGTTTAGCAGAAATGTCGGCTGTGCAACGCGCCTTCCCTTTGGACTGTGCATGTAAGCCTGGCGCAACACTTAGAATACCCTGATCACCATTTATTAATGCTTTGACTGAGTTAATTTTATATTGCTCAAATAATTTGGTGGTAATAGTGTCCAGTGGTGGCTTACTTACTCTACAATATAATATGATTGTAGTAAAAGTTTAATCTATAATATTTATTATTACTATTTCAACATTAAATATTATGTTATTTATCTTACCTATAAGCCCCATTGAGTTCAGGGTGGACAGTGGCTGGGTCAACCCCTGTCCAGTGGTTATTTTGAGAAAGAAACTCCTTATTCACACAGTTTTTTAGACTGTCTGGGATACGACCTGAAAGAGAGCAAGACAATAAATTATGCAAAATTAGTTAAAGTTAGTTAAGAGCTCCTTTTGTATACATATTGAAAGAATATGAAGACAAATGATTAAGGTTATACTGCAAACAGTTTATTTTTGGAAATTAAACTAAGACTTCACTATTTGTGAATGGGAATGTTATTAGTTAATTCTCTATTAGTTCAAAAAGGTTCCTTCTACCAGCTGCTCTGGTAGAAGGAACTGGTTATTATTTTGATCGCCACTTGAGGAACAAATAAAAAACTATTAACACCTTACAGAGATCAATGATTAACTACAGTTTTGTGGCACTTAAGACTGGAAGACAGGAAAACTAAGCTCATAGCGCTAAAAGTTACCCACAGCAATCAGTCAATCACACTCAGCTGCGCAGCGCCGCACGCAAATCCTCACCTGCAGCAATCAGGCACTGCTCGCATCAGTTTCATATCACGCAGAAGCTCCATCCAAGCAGCAGCTTCATTCACGCTGTAACCCTCCTCCTCCCCATCTCCACCACAGCCTCTTCGTCCTTCTCCTAGCTACCACCACCAGGGTCCAGGCCCTGGGGGATTTGAGCTCATAATCTCTTTCCCCTGCTGCAATCGTGCAGTGCTCTGCCAGGGTCTAAGCGCCAAATCCTAACCACATTCTGTACAGCACAATAAATCTTGAAAAATATTGTCCTCGATGTCATATATGTGATTTATGTAGTGTTGATTACTTGCCAAATAACATACAATTCTTATACCCATGTTTTGTCTGTTCGAGTCTCTCCAGATTGAATTGGTCATACCAGTGATTGCCCTTCGGATTTCTCTAGCTGCCTCCTCTCTCATCTCGAGTGATGCCTGTTCGCTGTACCATGCAGCATGGGGAGTGCATATGAGGTTGGGGGCATCCTTAAGTGGGCCCTGGCTGAAACTGATCAACAAAAGTGTTGTAATTTACTGTTAGAGTTAAACCTGAATGTTATTTTGCAAAGACTAACCTGAAGGGCTCAGACTCATGAACATCCAGAGCAGCTCCACGTACTCGTCCCTCTTTTAGGGCCTGTGCCAGGGCTTTCTCATCCACCAGGCCTCCCCTCGCAGTGTTGACTAAAAATGCCCCCTGCCGCATCTGTCTCACAAATAATTGTTTATATTTAGAGAATAAAATACTTGTTTTTTCTCTCAGAACTAAAGGATATAGTGCAAAACCCGTTTTGACATCAGGGACTGCATTTACAAGACCTATGTAAACCCGTGAGCTGCAAACTGGGTAGAACTGTTTCTACTGGGGTTGCTCTGGCATGTAACCACGTAAACTGGATCCTATTGAGTGATGGCCTTCATATGCATTTTACTTGTACTGCAGTTGAGCATGTGTGAAACAAGTACAATTCCAAATTAGAGTGCTAAGGAAAGTTACGAGACAACTGGTCAGAATATCACATCATAAAGTGATTTTGTGAGTTACCTGTTTGATAGTGAAGTCGTTGATCAAATGGTGATTATGCTCATTAAGGCTGCAGTGTAGGGAAACACAGTCTGAATGGAAGAGCAGATCCTAAAGAACACAACACTCTCTTAGAAAGCTTTCATGGACACAGGGAAAACCAGAAAAAGATTAACATGGGCAGTTAAGTGCACCAGGATAGGAAACAGCAAATGATTATTAGAAATATATTTGGATGTATACTTTGATTTGCTTTAATGTGAAGACATTATCACATTAAAATACTTGTGCACCTGTAGTGTGGTGACCCTTTGTAGTCCCAATGATCTCTCCACTCCATCAGCTAAATAAGGGTCATAAAAAATTACATTGAAGCCAAAAGCCTTTGCTCGCAGTGCTACAGCCTGGCCCACTCGACCTACAAAAGGATTACACATAGACATTATTACACTTTTTGGCTGTAACAAACTCATTCACAATTCAACATTTTTATGTGATTATTCTCTATCTATTTTATAATGTAATTTTAGTTTAAACAAAATAAATGTTTTTTTTATTTAATAAAAATTCCTCCAAGACGACTACTATTGTGATTTAGAGCTATACAAAAATACCTTTAATTGAATTGAATGGCAGGGCTGTCCTAGTCTCCCACTGTTTGCTGTTCTCACTGATTTAATTTATCATCAACGATGAACAAAAAACATTATTCTTAGGTTTTAGCTAATTTGGAGCCCACTGTAAAACCACTCATATGAAATCGACTTGTGCAAAGACAAAATAAACAATTACATTTTTGTTACCCACCAAGACCGATCAGGCCGAGAGACTCTCCTCTGATCCTTGCTGCTCCTGATGCTACTTCTCGTATTTGTTCCACACTCTGGGCCCGTGTACCTTCTCGAAGAGCCTAGTAAAAAAAAAGGCCTGGGATCTCATAATGCTTAAGTTAAGTAGAATCATATTAATATGAGTCATTCTGTGCTGACAAACCTGGTGCAGCCATGTGGTGCGTCGGTACAAGGTGAGGATGTGACACAGTGTGGAGTCTGCTGTCTCCTCCACTGATGCTGCAGGCATGTTGCACACAGCAATGCCTGCAATCCACAGCACCATAAGGAAAGAGGTTTGAGGAAAGGAGGCTTTGAAGCAGTGCTCAGTGTCTTGCTATAAAAAAATATATAGAAAATATAGAAAAGCAGTAGAGTGCAAATCTGTGCCAAGAGGCAAAGTTTCATTTCATTGATATACTTCTGTATCCAGACAGTGGTCCCGATCACCGCCAAAACGTAATAATTTCATCCTTGTCCCTTTTCCGTCCTCAGATTACATTGTTTTTCACTGTCTAAAAATTAAAACTTCTGATTAAATCATTCAGAAGATTTAGCTCAGTCAATATTGTGGAATTGAACCAATAATGTTGGTTAAAGAAACTGACCTAAAGTATGAGAATGCAATCATTATATGTCTTACATACATGTAAACTTCCAGTGTCCTCTGTATGTTATGACTCAATTGGTGATGTTGAGAGAATGTGCAGTGTTCTCACCCAGTTCCCCTGCAGATTTTATGTCAATATTGTCATAGCCACTGCCAATACGAACAATAATGCGTAGAGCTTTGAACTTCTCCAAGTCTTCTCGCATCAGAGTTATGGTGTGGTACATAAGAGCCCCGACTGCTTCATTCAGAACCTGGGCACACAATGTTTCAAACATAGATAGAGAACTATGTGCTGTGGCAAGAAGAATATGGACTAGCGTTCAATTTAAGTCTGATTTAAACAAAGCATATATAATACTTGTACTTATACAGTATGTGTGGATTTTTTACTATGAGGGCTTTTTAATTACACAGTATGGTCATTCTTACTAGACAACATAACTTGAGGACAAGAGCTTGACGTTTGAGCCAAAGCCATCTGTTTTGCCCACGCGGTGGCCTACTGAGCTCTCTCACAGGAAGGGCCTGCTGGCAGTCAGCCAGAACAAGACATTACACTGCCAGACACAGACCCACTTACAGTCCACAGGGGCTGAAACAGGCTGACCTGTATCTTTTTCATTTCATTATTTGTTCATTGTGCAGTTTTAATAATGGACAATAATAATTGAATAATAACTCATATTCAAATTGTGTGTTGCATACCTTCTCGTGGATCTCCTGTGTGGACTGGGCATCACAGAAAGCCACAGTTGCCACATCTTTCAGGATTGGCATCTCCACTGTGCAGTCACGTCCATCCAACAGCGCCACCAGGGGGCGGGGGTGCATAGGCCCATTCATGATGGGTGGCCTTATACCTGAACAGAGTGAAGTTTGTGAGGAAATCTTATTACTGCTAATTGTAATATATTGTCAATCTATTGTATTAATGTATATATTATTGAATGTCTTTTATTATTTTTCCATGTATTTGAAGCACTGCATCCTATAACATCTCTGCACTGAGCTGGTGTCCATATGTTTATTTGGGGTCTACAATTGAATCAGCGTTGAACATCATGTTGTTTGTACATGACAGATTGAGTAATTTAGTGCTGCGATATTACAATGAAGAAACAGGAGCTTTGCATCTGCTATTACGGTCTTCGGTTTTGTATTAACTAGAGAGGCCCTTATTGACTGGACAAGGTTAAAAGATGTAGGTCATTAGGCTCTGTACCCGCTGAATAATAAGGCACCACTTCAAACACAAATGTGATATTTCACTGCTTAAGTGAGCTGCTTGACATGAATGAACAGTCCAAGGGAAGCAGTGAGGGAAGTTAGATTGAATCAGGACAGACTCGTTGAGCTAGCTTTATAAATCTGCTTCTTTAGCTCATGTAGTCACCCTTGAGAGCAGCTAAGGCCATACTCAAGGATACATGGCAAATAACAAGTAGATTCTTCCTACTCTGGACTTCAGAGAAGTGTACTTACTGTAAGGGGAGTGAATTCATTCTTCTCTGTCAAATGCTGACAGATATTGATAAAGCATTTTCATTAATTCAAAGCTTTTTTAAAGAATAATCCACTTTATACATTATTTTTTCAGTATTGCATAATGTATTTAATTTATTTTTTGCTGTTATAAGAAAAAAGTGGAACTGTTCCTATGGGTTGGTACAAAATGTACTACTGTTATTACAATGTGGTATTATTTTATGCTAAATCTTATTGCAAATATCACAATCCTAAATGCACAACATTTTAAATTTGAGCCGGCAGGGATCTATATTTTAAGTGCCTTTTTTGGTTTGGTGTAAAAATATATATATTTTTAGACTATCAGATGAAAAGGTTTGCTTTATATCATGAAGATTCCAATATTGCCTATAAATCTTGCTTAGTTTTTGAATCTGCATTGTCACATAAATCTTTCTCTTGTGTAATCCTTTCTGACAACACAGTCTGAACTGTACTGTAAGAATTTTAAACCTGCTAACAATGCACATTGTGGTCTGGTAAAGCATTAGCTATCCATAAAGGGGTTGCATGCAGGGCGTTGCACTTACACATCAATAGAAAATCAATGATGCATAACTTAGAAATGGGAATTCAATGTGAGCGCTGAAGACTTCTACAGCAGCCATCGCAAATCAGATGCCATTATGAATAATAGTTTCATATGGAGTTACACCGCATTGCAACGCATACTCAGCTTTACTTTATCATTCTGCTCTAGATTTGAAATGAAAGCACAGCAGCATGTTGTGTGAAATTATTGAGCTCTGCTCTTATTCCAGTGAGATCGACTGGTACGAGTGTATGAGATGAAATAAGTATCATTCCAGCACCATTCATGATTTGTGAGGACGAGCTCTCAAACTGCTGGTGACGAGCGATGTGTTATAAACTCTCATAAGTCAAACTGCCGCTGTCACTCACTCTTCTGCGTCTATGTGGGGCTGCATCTCCTTGTACTTACTTAATACTCTCTGGTTTTGAATTCCACATCTCAAAATCTAAAACATCTATGAAATCACACCATTTTATTTCTGATTACTCTGATTACACATCTTAATCCACTGTTTTTACAATTATACATATATTTTTTCCCATGCACATAAGCACGCTTGCTAGTGATTCTGGTATTTTTATTGTATTTAGTAGTATTTTTTACGAATTTATTGATGACTTATATCAAAATGTTTTTGTGTTATATTAGCACAAGTGCCAGGGCTGTATTATTGGGCTGTAGATATTGGTTATTGTTTTACATATTAGTACTAAAAAATAACTATTCTTATTGGAGTGGACATTCATTGTTATGTTTAAAAGAAAGTTTGAGTTGGAAAAGCATCTGCCACTGACTGCTGGCACTGGAGCCTTCAGCCAGGCCACATCAGTGACGACAGAACAGCTGGAACGAGTCCTTGAGGATCGAGGCAACATTTTGGACTTGTCAATCAACCAAGTGAGAGTATTATGTCTCATGGAAAGCTGACAAATATGAACTGGGTGTTGTGCATTGTGAAACGTATTTGCTTGCAGCACCTGTGACAAATGCAGTGTATGTGTGTGACATAGACTGCCATCAAACCAAACACAGTAGAATTGCAATGCCACTGGCTCCTATGGCATATGGCTACATGGTGTGATTCAGCGACCTTGATACCGTAGTCGCGATGATGAATCTTGCCCAACTGTCAAACGCGGTCACGTCTTGTTCTTTTCCCTTGTTTTACTGCATCTAGAATCCTCCTGGCACTTTTTGAATCTCCCTTACATGGTAAATGCCCCATCCTTTCTATAGTGTGTTGTAGCAGGCTGCTTTTCTCCCTAGCTGCAGAAACATGAGAAGACAGAAAGCATCCACCTCGGTGCACGCTCACACTGCCCCACCTATGTTTGCAGATTTATTAGTTTACAAATTGTTGAATCAGGGTCCTCCAACAAGATCCATAGCACTATTTTTAGTACTTAATTGAAACAACAGTCTATTAGATGAGGCAGATCTTGGTGTAATATGCAGAAATGCTTAGTGAAAAATGATCTATGCCCTTTCATACAACAACTATAATGAGTATTTAGTATTTGCCCTTGCCTCAGTCAATAATTCATTAAAACCATAAAGAATCCCCCAGTGTAGCAGTCTAAAATAGTACTAAAATATACAATAATATTAAGGCATACTTAGCAAGGCAAGCAACTTTATACCAGAAATATTGTTTTATAATATATAAAATCCAAAGAGTTTGAGCTTTTTATTTGTGATATAGTGACTGTGAAAAGTGATGTGTTATGGCTCATTGAGAACAAAGATCTATGGAAGACATGCTTTAACAGGCTTACTGTACTCCGGTCAGCGAGTCGATTAACTATTAATATGCCGGAGCCTGCTATACCTTCTGTTGGATTTTTTGTGTTTAATAGATTATAGAGTCACAACACGTCTTTTGGTAAGTGGCTCATATTCAGCAGGCTGTAATCGGTTTATGGACTTGACAACACATCTGCTTTATATGAACTGCCTTTTCCATAACAACACGATGAGTCAAGACAAAGTGGTGACATTAATGACAGAACATCTGCACTACTGTTTCTGTGTCATTCACGTTGATTATAGCCAGCTTCTTTCAGTGTTCCTTTGTCCGTCTAGCTTTCACTTGACTTCGTTTACATCATTATTCTTGAATCTATTTGACTCCTTCTTTGGAATGTTGACAATAATTAGCCCTTTATTTGCTCAAGTTCATTATAATGATGTTAAACATATGTGCTTATTTATGCTGATTGCTTTTGTACTAAAATTATTATAGTTCTGTTGTTTTTTATTTTTGACAGTCCACATGCCATGTAGATACAGATGGCAACATGAATATTTACATGGAAGCATGTTTATTAAATGCACTGTCCCATTTATGGTGGTCAAATGTAAACGATTTTTATTGAAACTAGTATGAAAATACTAATTTGAGCAAGTATACATACAAAATTATGTAAACAGGACAACATTTTACATTTATTGAACCTTTTTAATTGAATATTATATATGGGGGTTTTTTTGTATTGGGTATTGAGCGTTGTTTCTTGAATTTTGTTTATTTCAGATTCATTAAATTGCCATTTACAGTAAAATCACACTGGAATACACTTGCAAAAGTCCCCAGTGTGTACAAGACATATGATATTTAGTGTTGAGACAACAATACCCTTTCATTTCAAACATTTTGGATTTAAATGGCAATCATTCACTTGATAAGCCATTCTGTTCGATTTTGAAGGGCAGAAAAAAATATTCTTGCAAAGCTCAGATTGTGCCTTTCACTGCTAAAACCTAAATCAGCCTTTTAATCAGAAGGACTGACAAAGGTACTTCAACACTCACACAGAGCTGAAACTGATACAATCACAAGATCAATAATGCTGCTGATAGGAACCGCCTTTTTATCGGTTTGTGTTTCATCTTCAAATGCGATGTGTTTTAGCTTCCTGTTTATAGGTGAGACTTTGAGAGCTTTCCTAAGATGCATATGATAGAATTTAATTGTTTACTTTGCTATATGAAATCTATGAACAAGGCACGTTTCAGCACTGATAATTTATAGCTTATATTTTCTGTGACCTTGGATTCTAGGAGTACTACACAGTTGTAACGGATGTGACATTCATAATTACTGTTCCAAGTTCACGTCCAAAGAGTTGAGAATCTGCTTGATGACATCACTGAGCGAGAAATGTGTAGGAAATCTCATTCAGGTGACTACAGACCACCATTATGTATAATAACACCCTCCCACGTCTTGCTCCACACCCAATTTTCCTCCTTTGCAACCTCACCTTTATCCCATGTTCTGGAATAGTCTTTTCTCCCATATCTCAAAATCCCATCCCTTATTTCACCTGCACATGCAAATGCTCATCCCGGTTCTCTTTAATGTGTGACCCTGTACAAATTGCTTTCTAAATCAAATGAAAAACAATGAAAAGGAAATATGTGTCATGTCCCCGCTAGCCCTGGAAGGAGAGTGAGTAGAGATCTATTTCTGTCTCTACAAATAGATGTGTTTGAGCAGGCTTCAACAGCAGATATTTGCATTTTCATACGCACACTCACACACACACGCGCACATGCACACAGATCTGAGGTAGAGAAAAGACTAACCATTCCGGCAGTGTGTGGGCAAGGCTGATGTGAAAAGATAAATAGACATGCAGAATTAAGAGGAGGAGACGAAGAAGGAGTGAGAGGGGAGGGGGAGGGGAGAGCATGGCAGAATATTGTACACTTAGTTCACAAATATTGGAAGGCACGCACATGCACAGCAGAGGTTCCCGGGCTTGCACACACTCGCACACACCCACACGCCACATAAAAGCTGCTATGTTTACCTAAAGGCATGCCTTTGTTGAGGAGATGTGAGCTTCCCATGGCGTGTTCCCCAGCCAGCCAGCGCACTATGCAAACTGCAGTTGTCTAGCAGCTCACATGAACAGGAATCCAGTCAGCATATGGCGGCAATGGCCAGCTACCTCGCTTCCCGTAGTCCTTCTCCCAGCCCCTTAGTGACAAGCATACACATGTGCTCCCCCTCTTTCTCTCTTTCTCTCTCTCTCTCTCTCCCCCCGCCCGCTCTCTATCTGCCTGATCCCTCCCTCGGCCCAATCTCACAGACTCCCCTCCTCTCCCCTTCTCACTTTCTGTTGCACCAATTCATTCTGGACTTGCGAAAAAGTATCCACACAGAGGATGAAAGCATAGGAGTAAAGGCACAAGAGAGTAAAGAGAGACATCTGAAGAAACAGTAGAGACAGGCAGTGTGTGTGTTTGTGTGTGTGTGTGTGTGTGTGTGTGTGTGTGTGTTTGTGTGTGCGTGTGAGAGAAAGAGAGGGTAGGACTGGGGCGGCACGAATTCCAAAAATCAGTCAATGCAGAGTGGAAGAACTAGTTTTGTTGGTACAGGTTAACTGAAGCCACCTGTTCATTATGTTCAATAAATTATTTATTGACCATGAACTTCTATGTTGCTGAAGTTTGTAACAAGTTACTTAAACCTCAAACGGTTTCCTCAACCATATGGTAGATCACCGTTTGAGTCAATATAACTACTTGAAGCTTGGAACTGAACTATACCTCTTTAGGGCATCTCACTTGGTTTTAGACACTTTTACCACCACTTTTACAAACTTCGTCAATAAACATTTGATAAAGGTCTATAATAATAAACAATCGGGGTTAAAACACTATACAATTATTTGTGTTAGTAGTGCTCCTATATCCTATATATACATTGCTTTCTTCAAGGAGTGAATGTTAAAGGGTTAAAGTTGGTGGTTAACAGTAATAATACCATATTGATGTCAGAATATTTATGAACACTAAATTAATTATTCAGATTCAGCATTAATTAATTATTTGGCATTAAGGTAATATAAAGTGCCTCTCAAACGTGCTAATACGGCATGAACTTTTGCACATTTTGTAAGGTTTACAACCATAAACATAAAGCTGTATTTAGAATTTTTACTGAAAATTCACACTCAAATAACAGATTTTTTAAAAATTAAAGTCAAATTATACATGATTACATGTTTTTTTAAGTGCATTAAATTTCTTTTAAAACATCCCTTATGACCACTGAATGTTCACACCATTCCGTAATCATTAAATAGAGGCATCCTGTGTGTAATATACTCTCAGTATACAGTATACATATCATTATATACAGTATGTGAGGGCCTCAAAGCTATGCACGGAATGTATTGGTCACTAAACAGCATCATAGAGGCTAAGCAGCCCACCAAGGTCAGGGACGAAGTTGAAGAGAATTTCAAGGCAGCGTTATGTTATAAAAAGATTTCCCAAATTCACCTAAAATAATATGAATGAGTGGTATTTTTGAAAGGAGACCCTTATAAATTCTATTTGAAGTTTGTCAAAAGTCATAAAGGGGACACAGATACCACATGGAAGAAGGTTCTTTGGTCAGATGAGACAAAAAATTATCATTTTTGGCCCAAACGCAAAACATAACACAAACTGCGCTACACTGCTCACTGTCCTGAATGCACCATCCCCAGTGTGAAAAAGATGGGGGGGCATCATGCTATGAGGCTACTTTTCTTCAGTGGGGACAGGGAAGATCGTAAGAATAGCTTGGAAAATGGATGGAGTCAAATACAGGAACATTTTTGAGGAAAACATGCTAGAGTCAGCAAGAAAATTGAGGCTACAGGACAATGGGCCTCATGTATGAAACTTGCGTACGGCCAAATCAGGGTGTAAATGAGGCGTACGCAAAAATTTTACACTTTTCGGCATTTATCAATCGGGACGTGAGCGCACAGATGCACGGTACGCACAGATGCACGCATGAAATGCAAGATTCAGTCAACAATAAAGATATTCCCACTCTGGCAAAATTATAAGCTGCGTTTTCATTGAGCTTCATGTTTCTAAATTTGAATTTGCGCATCAGAAAAAATTCATGTGTAGGTTTTTTTTTTATGTGAAGCGCTTTGTGATCTGCTCTGTGAAGGCGCTATATCTAAATACACCTGGCTTACCAACTTAATGTGTGACCATCTATTTGTCCGTAAATCTGTGGCAGACCCTGCGTGATTACGTATGGCTATTTGTTTTGTCTCATTCACCTCTGGCAAAGCAACGTATTTCTGCATTAGCTACTCAGCGATGGCAGAGATAAGCGCTTTTTTGTGTGGAAACGGGCTCACGGGCAGCAGGTGCCACACAGCGAGACTCATACGCATCCTTTCTCTCTCATCGGTCCATTGCATTCACAAGAAGATGTCGCTGACGCTTGACCCAGATGAGAGTCACCGCTGAGATTTTTATATTCATTCATTCATTCATTCATTTCTAAAGAGAAGAGCGCTGCAATGGGTCCATAGACTAGGTCAAAAAATGTGTATATATAATATAGCGGGGCTGTCTTTTTGTTTTTTTTGGACAAAATAATACAATAAAACTCAATATAAACTCAGTGCGTGTCACTAACAGGCCTTCTGATGCTTCAAACTAGTCTTGCTGGCCGGCTTCCACGCTGACCTGTTGTAAAAACAGGGCGTTTTCTGATTATTTCTAGGCGTGACTTTCATAAATACGCTAGTTTTCACCGCGGCTGCGTACGCTCCGATCTGTGCGTATCTCACACGTTCATAAATCCTGCGTTGAGTCTGGCGTAAATTGAATATACACCAAAAATATTCACCCTTTTCTGCGCAACTTTCATAAATGAGGGCCAATGACCCTAAACACAAAGCTCAATCTACAATGGAATGGTTTACAACAAAACATATTCAAAATGGTACAGTCAAAGTCCAGACCTAACTCCAATAGAAAATCTGTGGAAAGACCTGTGGCTTTTCACAAACGCTCTCCATCTAATATTACAAAGCTCGAGTTGTTTCATAAAGAGAAGAGGGCAATTTTTATTGCAGCAAAAGGGGGTTCCACAAAGGATTAACTTTTGCTGGATGAATACTTGTGCATTATATATATATATATATATTTTTTTTTTTTAGATAACAGAATTATGTATCATTTTGCTTTCTCTTCACAGTTGTCTGTTACTTGTGTGTGAACTTTAAGTAAAACAATCTTTATGGTTGTAAACATGACAAAATGTGTAAAATTTCAAGCTGCAATAATACTTTTGCAAGGCACTGTATGTGCAGCTGTGCCTTTAAACAAACGTCTAATTTTTACAGTCTATGGTCTAAACACAGAACAAGAGTGGGACAGGAGATTCCTCAGTCCAACCAGGTTTAAGTATGCTGCTGGTATGGGCTCAATAGGTTTTCAATTATTTCTATTAAACATCTATGTTTGCATAGGGCTGGGTCATTGTATTGCATATTGAAATATTAGTATGCTGAACTGGTGAGCAGTTCATTATGATTTATCTATCTGTCAGTTTATCTGTTTTTTTGCCTCCCTGTTAAGTTATTTAAGTTACTTTTTATTGTTCCTGTAGAGAAACTTGTCCTCTGCATTTAACCCAGCCTTCATTACAAATTTTATGAAACATGTAGACATTAGACTCACATAAAACATCACACACATACACGCACATTCACACACTTACAAACACACATGCATAGCTTTTACTGTATGTGGTACTGTAGGTTCAATATGCGCATGCTTATGTTAACCTTTTATAATTCTGACAGATTCTTCTGAAAACCTCTCACAATTAGATCTGAAACTATAACTTTACTTTGTTAACAAGACCCTCTTTGTTCATTTATGAAACTGACACTAGGTTTGAACTTGGCTGTGTGACTTCATGTAATTTTAGGTGATAACTGTTAAGCTATACACAGAGGGAAACGAAATGCTCTTGCAGAAGCTACTCTGACTGAAAATTTAGGAACTTGCCCATTTGCCTGAGGATCTTTTTTATTAAAGGTGTGAGGTGTGCACGTTTCTTCATCCTATTACAGGAACTTTTATTCTATTTTAAAAATTCATTTTGAATGTGGTAAACATGAATTTTACCTTGCATTTAGTCTGAATTAGCCTTAATGTGCTTCTGTGTGCCATTGTAGTATATACCCATTCAAAAGTTGCTATTCTAGACAAAAAAAATATGATATCTAATGTGAACCTAATGTCTACATGTTTCATAAAAATAGCATTGAAGGATGGGTCAAATGCAGAGGACAAGTTTCCCTACAGGGAAATAGTACTATTCAAATGATTTTTTTAGTTACTGTATTTGAGTGTTAAAGTATTATATGTTATCAGACTATGTAACAACTTTGAAAATGTATTTTTTGACAGAATACTGTTTAATTACTGAATGAATTATCCATATTGATGTTTATAGGCTGTTTAATATGACGTATTTTTTGTTATTCTCTTATGAATCAATGAAAGCTTGTATTTGTGGCACCATATCAGCAGGGGGCGCTAGTGACCAGCACCATATATCCACAGATGGAAAACACACAAACACAAAAGCACAGAGCCAAGATGGCGGTGCAAGAAACTGCAGCTCAACTCTCCATGGCGCTGAAAGTCCAGGAATATCCCACCCTGAAGGTAAAACTCACACTGGCCAACGCGTTGTGACAGTCTGGGGATGTCTGTCTGTGAATCCTGAGTGTTATGATGCGGTTATGCGTGCTTATGGCCCACTTGAAATCAGGAAAGGCGAAGTTGACGTGAAGGCGGACAATAACTGGTGTAAGCCTGGTGTATGAGGATGTTTACTAAGCACTCGACCTTCACAACACAAACCTCTGCACACATTCAGTTAGTTGTCAACCACTGGACGATGCGTGCAGTTTAGCGGCTTTCATGAAGTGATCGATCAGTACTCCTTTTCTTATGGACGGCAGAAATGCTGTGCTGTCATTTTTTACACAAACGAACATGAGACACAAGGGATATACTGTCAATTATGAGGCTAGCAGTTGCATCTGATTGAATATATCGCTGCTGCAAGTGTTGTATGTTATCAAATGGTTAAATCCAGGCCAGTTAAAGCTCGTGGTGTTGTAACCATTGTGTTAAAGGGAACAACATGGTCGCTCATCGAATGCCGAGAGATAGGTGCAGATAAGAAGTGGTCAGTATGGCGTTTTTTTCGTTATTTAACAATATATAGCTCTATGGGATTTAATATGTATTTCTTTTATATCTGCAAGAGCATTGTGACAGGGTTTTAATCTTGCAACCTACGCATTAGCTGATGGCCCAGCAGCGCGACAATGACAGCCGTAGTAGTCTATTCATGTTAACGCCATGTCATCATGTGCTGCTGACCACGGTGCTTCCAAATGCCCCATGTAAACGCGCACTATAGAGGCTTATATACTATTGCCGCACACACACTGTGTCCCCCCGTTGCACATAATGTTACTGCGACACCACAGGCAAAAGCTAAGTGCAGATGTGTCCGGATTATTCCAGTCGTGCAGTAAAGAAGTCTGCCTCATTGAAAGTCAGTGAGTATCTCGTGTTCCCTGCGTTTTTCTACAAACCTGTAATGTATTACACATGGCTGCGATTCACTGTTTAAGTTCGGTTTCTGATTTGGCCTGCATTTTGCTGCAGTATTAATTGAGATATCGACAGTGACACCCATTTTAGCATCTACCCTGACATTTAGCATGCATCCATTATCAAATTTAACATTTGATTCAATCAATGCATTGGTGTTCACTGTGATAAATACTGCCTCAGCTTGGGCTTTTCAATTAGTAGATTTCATTTTAGAATGGTTACCTTAATGAATGATTTATTCAATAACAATTTAATGTAGGTACAATTACAAGTACTTAATTTTTTTGGAAATGTGTTTTTCCATAAAAAACAATACTCTTGACAACCCTATACCTCCTCTCCAGCTATAACTTGACAGAATACTAGTAGTATGAGTCATTTTTACCCTGCAATGATCATCATCATCAATTGTAATTCTAGTGCATTTTAAATTGGGAGATTGAGCTTTCAACTAGAATAGATACAGGTGTCATGTGTCTTTGGCACTAAAATAAATGAGCAAGAATATTAAAAAAGTATAGAAATTAACACTGATGATTGCAGACAGCAGCCGATTTCGTCTGTCTCCGGAGAAAGTGGATGGTTACACTTTAAATTGTAACTTCTTATATCTCAATTTTATTTTGTGTTATTCCCAATCTGGGATAAAAAAAAATGTACTAGAAATTATTGAGTACTTGCACAATTGTAATTTCCTTTGGCTTGTTTTCCAGGTTCCCTATGAGACTTTGAACAAACGATTTAGAGCCGCTCAGAAAAACATAGATCGTGAGACAAGTCACGTCACAATGGTGGTTGCAGAGCTGGAAAAGACCCTGAGCAGTTTTCCAGTGGTTGATTCTGTGGTATCACTCCTCGATGGTGTTGTTGAGAAACTTAGTGCTCTAAAGAGGAAGGTAATGTATAATAGGAGGAATATAATGTACAGTGGGGAAAAAAGTATTTAGTCAGCCACCATTGTGCAAGTTCTCCCACTTAAAATAATGACAGAGGTCTGTAGATTTCAACTGTGAGAGACAGAATGTGAAAAAAAAATCCAGGAATTCACATTGTAGGATTTTTAATGAATTTATTTGTAAATTATGGTGGAAAATAAGTATTTGGTCACTTCAAACTAAGGAAGAGCTCTGGCTCTCACAGACCTGTAACTTCATTAAGAAGCTCTTCTGTCCTCCACTCGTTACCTGTATTAATGGCACCTGTTTGAACTCGTTATTTGTATGAAAGATAGCCCAAATGTAGCCCAAAACGATATTTCAACCACTGATAATCTCCCTCGATCTGGGGTTCCACGCAAGATCTCATCCCGTGGGGTCAAAATGATCATGAGAACGGTGATCAAAAATCCCAGAACCACACGGGGGGACCTGGTGAATGACCTGCAGAGAGCTGGGACCAAAGTAACAAAGGTTACCATCAGTAACACACTACGACAACAGGGAATCAAATCTTGCAGTGCCAGACGTGTCCCCCTGCTGAAGCCAGTGCATGTCCAGGCCCGTCTGAAGTTTGCCAGAGAGCACATGGATGATACAGCAGAGGATTGGGAGAATGTCATGTGGTCAGATGAAACCAAAGTTTATACCAAACTTTTTGGTATAAACTCAACTCGTCGTGTTTGGAGGAAGAAGGATACTGAGTTGCATCCCAAGAACACCACACCTACTGTGAAGCATGGGGATGGAAACATCATGCTTTGGGGCTGTTTTTCTGCTAAGGGGACAGGACGACTGATCCGTGTTAAGGAAAGAATGAATGGGGCCATGTATCGTGAGATTTTGAGCCAAAACCTGCTTCCATTGAGTTAAATTTCTGTTATTGACCAAATACTTATTTTCCACCATAATTTACAAATAAATTCTTTAAAAATCCTAAAATGTGAATTCCTGGATTTTTTTTCATATTCTGTCTCTCACAGTTGAAGTGTACCTACGATACAAATTACAGACCTCTGTCATTATTTTAAGTGGGAGAACTTGCACAATTGGTGGCTGACACAATACTTTTTTGCCCCACTGTATATCAATACTTACATCATGGATTGTGAACATTAATTTGAATTATTTTTATGATGAAGGCGGCAGAGTCCATTCAGGCTGAAGATGAGAGTGCCAAACTTTGTAAACGTCGTATTGAACATTTGAAGGAGCACAGTAGTGACCAGCCAGCATCAGTCAATCTATGGAAGAAAAAGCGAATGGACCGTATGATGGTGGAACATCTTCTACGCTGTGGCTACTACAACACAGCTGTCAAGTTGGCCAGACAGAGTGATATAGAGGTAGTGGTTGTTCAATGGTCTATGCTCAGTCACAGTAGCACGTTGGGCAGGCATGAGGTGTGGAGTTAATGGTGGAGGTTGAATTAGTCCTAAATTGTCATATTTTTCATAAAATAATAATGCTTAGTTTAATTTCAAATTAACCAAACAAACTTTTCTCACTTTTTAATTAAAGAATATTTCTTTTTCAGATTCTCATTTCTACTGTTAACAAAATTTATTGAATGATTTCACTTTCTCCTCAGGATCTAGTGAACATTGAAATGTTTCTCACAGCAAAAGAGGTGGAGGAATCCTTGGAAAGGCAAGAGACTGCCACTTGCCTTGCATGGTGTCATGATAATAAGTCCCGTCTTCGTAAAATGAAGGTGTCTAATTTTGTAAATAAAAAAAGTATAATCCGACGTGCAGTTTGGTTGCTCTTCTAATGCATACATGCAACACTTTTTCAGAGTTGTCTTGAATTCAGCCTCAGAATCCAGGAGTTTATTGAACTTATCAGACAAAATAAGCGAATGGACGCTGTCAGGTAATAAACGCACCCCTCTCATATGAAGTCCAAACTATTTTCTAATGTATTGAATTTGTATGAATGTTGTTGTCTCTAGACATGCCCGCAAACACTTCAGCCAAGCAGAAGGAGGGCAGCTGGATGAGGTTCGGCAAGTAATGGGCATGCTTGCATTCCCATCGGATACACACATTTCTCCTTATAAGGTAATTAAAGATTGTTACATTTTCCCTTATTTCAACTACATAATATCAGAGAAGTGTGAAAAAAGAATTAGTGCCCGTGCTATGATTATTATCACCCGTTCAGGAGGAGAGTGCTTTGGATGAATAGATGGTGTCTGCTAGATTCTTTATTTTTATATGATATCAACATAGCAGAGAGGTACATTGTTTGAAAAGGGGTGGGGTGAAACAGATACTTATTCATGCAATCTTATTTATTCCAATCACAGTTCTCGTCCTTCCGTTCAAATCAATCAAGTCTTTATAACTGATACTAACGACTTGACAATGATTAGTTTCTCCATTTCAATTTCCCTGCACTGACTGATCTGTCTTCTTTACTCTCTAACTAAGGCTGTAATCCGCAATAGTTTACTAAATATATGATTTACCAAATTGTGGATATTAGATAATTGCATTGTGAGATCATTTCATTCATAGGTTTAAGGAAGGGTGGGGATATTTTTTGGCATCAGTTTATAGGAACTTTTTGTGACATAGGGAGGCGTAGGGATGAAAACACATGATATAACCGCCCCATGGTTTAGGGCGTTTCCATTTCAAGAGGTTCCCAATAAGCATCCAGTTGTAAAGTCAATATGTTTGTCTGTCTCATAAGTACATTAAGGTTGTGACTTCATGGACACATATATTCCACACATAACAATACATTTCCTTCACAGGATCTTTTGGATCCTGCTCGATGGAAGATGTTGATCCAGCAGTTCCGATACGACAACTACAGACTTCACCAGCTGGGAAACAACTCTGTTTTCACCATCACTCTTCAAGCTGGTCTCTCTGCCATTAAGACTCCGTATCCTTTCATTGACTCTTTACTGTCCTTTACTCACCATTTTTAATATAGTTAGTTACCCATACATTGTACATACCAGGGATGGAAACTTGCGAGCTGGACTCTGACTTGAATCTGACTTCAGTCACTAATTTTAGAGACTTGCGACTCGACTCAGACTCCCTTAAAGCTGCATTACCTCACTTTATTTTTGTATTCATTACGAAAATTCAAATCATATCCATGCAATGCATTGGGATATATGTCCTTTTGAAGTAAAAGTAGCGCAGATTTCTGCTGGCGTGTCATTTTATTTTAGATCAAGCAACAAGGAAGAGAATTTGTTTCGGGACCAGATTGTGACCAATCACAGCGGACCACTGGCCCACACTTTCTTGAGAAAAGCTACAGGTCTCTCGTTAGCACAGACAGCTGAGGTAAACAAGCGGCGGAGGCTAACCTGAAACTCCCTGTGTCTTTGTTACCGGTTACTGCTTACACAGCAAAACAGTCATCCAAAATGAAAGTCTTGTTCCTCCGTGCTTCCCAGTTCTATCATTCTATGGTCACGCCATCCATGTTCAAATGTGCGATCCGTGTTGTGAGATGCTAGCTCCGTAAACACAGGCTGAGGGGGATGAGGGTAGTGGGGCTTTAAGACTTGAGACTCGACTCGGACTCGTCCCTCAAGACCCGACCCGGACGAGAAGAAAGCTGAGCCACTTTGATAACGGCTCTCTGCAAGTGCATGTCTTTGCGTGAGCAGTACATGCCACAAATGAAGAGAACGTGCCATTAATTCTGCAAGAAACAGAGCTGAATTATGGGAGCAGAAGTACCCATGTTCTCCCTGTGTCTCTTCCTGCTCACTGAATTAAAGCTATGGGTACCTAATATTTTATAAATATAGTACATTTTGTTTGAGACTTGGACCTGACTTGGACTTACTTCAGTAAGCAGTGATGCAAAAACGTTTTCAAAAAACATATCCATAACTTAAATGCTACAGGCAGTGCTACAAGGAGGATGGAACCTCAAAGAACCCTGACTGCCCCGTATGCAGTAAATCTTTAAACAAATTGGCCCAGCCTCTACCAATGGCTCACTGTGCCAATTCCAGACTGGTGTGTAAGATCTCAGGAGAAGTAATGAATGAAAACAACCCCCCCATGATGCTGCCTAATGGATATGTCTATGGTTACAACGTGAGTATAGTTTAAACATACTTAATTTCTTACAATAATGGGCACTCTGTATACTTGTGTTAATTTTTTGTATTTCCTTTTAGTCTCTTCTATCAATTCGCCAAGATGACAAAGTGGTGTGCCCCAGAACCAAAGAAGTCTTCAATTTCTCTCAGGCTGAGAAAGTATACATTATGTGATCACATGGACAACCTTTTAATCATATACAGCCATTTGCCTTTCACTTGTGACAAGGCCTTCTCAGAAAGCCGCACGTAGAGCTGTGATCCAATGCCCTTTGTTCCCATTAACAAGTCATCTCCAGGGTGGCCATATTTGGAATAGACTTTCCTCTATGGCATTTTTCTACAACATACATTTGAGTATAAACCTTAAACACATGAACTATCAATATTGTCTGAAAAAAAAGAGATTAGAGTAATGGACACTGTACAAATATGTTTAATCACACAATAAACCATTAGTGAGATTTTCCACTCGGTTTAAGTAATTACACCTACATTTAGACATTCTTGACACAATGGGTGGTATGTGGGAGATATTTTTTCTTTGCTGCATGCTATATTTTTTGACTGATAACATTTTTACTTATTTCACAACTGTAACAGGCCAGTTTTAGGCTCCTTTTGGATGTTAGCGATAGAAAGTAATTAAATTGCTTGTAAATGTCAGGATTGTTCAGGGCCACACAATTAAACAGAATGAAGTCAAACACTAGAAGTCAGTGCTTCTAACCCTTGTGTAAATAATGTACTCCTTGCAATACTGAGGCATTTTTGTATTTTAATTAATTTGGTCTTCCTTATTTTTTGTTACATTTGGTTGAACATTTTTAAAAATCTTTCATTTAGATTTTTGTAGCCCTAATCTTTGATACTTTTCATTGTTCTTCATTCAGATAAATGAAAAGATGGTCAATTCTTGTCTGCAATTGCATATTATACTTCGATCTCTTATTATTTTCAAGAACTACTTTGGTTTAACTTGTGCACAGATGGTAGTTTGACTTGAATCCTCACGGAGCATTCCAAAGCTGCTTCCTTTTTAAACTTGTTATGTTTGGACTATTCTATATTGATATTTTTGTGTGCGTCCTTGGTGGTTTTGTGAAAGCTTAAAAGACTGTTCTGTGTTTGTTGGTAGATTAGATCAATGAGTTGTTTCATGGGCAGAAGTCTCATAAAGATTTAAGTGAAAAGAGGTGTGATGCTTCTTCATTTACATGCATACGGTCATCATGGGGAGTCTCCGTAACACTAGTCTAGAGTATAAAGGTTGATGATAAAGAGTTCCCTGTGGCTCTTTTTAGATGAAAATGTATTGCAAGCCAGGGTTACAGTCTTTCACCTGAAACCTGCTTTGTTATTAAAATGGTCCATCTGGTGGGGTGTGGAGCAAACAGTTCAACACATTTTTCTTCTGCACTTTTGCATCTTTCTTGTTAATTCTCATAACTACAGACATGTTTTATTTTAGAGATGTAAGCCCAAAATTATGAAAACAAAAATCCACACAGCTATGCTCCCAAGTGTCTTTTTGTTTACAGACCACAAAGTAACGGGTCGGGTTGTGCCCTTCATCAGACATGAGACATGATTAAGGATTAAATGTTTGAGAAAAGGCCTCAGTCTAAAACATTACTTTGTGGTCAGTAAATAAAAAGTCACTTGAGAGCAACATAACTGAGGATTTTTCGTATCTAGTTCCGGATACTAGGATACATTTTTCCTAAATTACACAGAAAGTCCTGTTTTTATTGTACCTATGTACTTGGGATGCCTGTTCACTATCAGAATTGCTTAACTACTTTCAGAATTCTTCCAAAAGGAAAAGAAACTATTCAGAGTACAGCTACTGCAAAAAAAAAAAAAGGAATGTATTGTGTTATTTTATAATTCAATTAAGGACTCGAAGGGTAAAAAATAAATATTGTACTATTTTACTCTTTTATAATCATCAGCAAAGCAGGATGCTGGTTCAGGAGTTTAAACCCATGTCAAGTTCTCACAGTATCTATACTATGCAAAAACAAATCAAGTATTCAGAAAACAGTACTCTTGATTGCATTATTACACAATTCAGTATTCCGTTACATTTGCAAACGATTAAAGGTTAAAGACTGTTAAAGACGTTTCGGTATATGTTTGATATATCCAAACATAAATTACTATGGCACTAGTTCCTTGATAAATGATGACACTAATCAAACTCGTATAATTGCTCCCATAAGAAGGTGATTGTGATACCGTTTATATTTATGTGAGAATATTGTTTTCAACATAAACATTAATGTTCTTGAATAAATCCCAAAGCGGAAGAGGCGGAGACACGAGATGACGTCATAGTGGATTACTTATACTGGAGCCGCTTTTCACCTTCGACCATTTTGAGGAAAGCTCACCACACAGTTCTCCTTCAGTCTCAACCCTTTGTTCTCAAACATGAGTGACCAGCTTTGCAAACTGTTTGTCGGAGGCCTGAACGTGAACACGGACGACGATGGTCTGCGTAGTCACTTCGACCAGTATGGCGTTCTCACCGACTGCGTGGTGGTGATGAACAAAGAGCTACAGCGCTCCCGTTGCTTCGGCTTCGTGACCTACGCCTCTCCCGAGGAGGCGGACGCGGCCATGGCGGGTAGGCCTCACACCATCGACGGCAACACGGTCGAGCTGAAACGAGCTGTGGCCAGAGAAGACGCTAACAGGCCCGAGGCCTTGGCTAAAGTGAAGAAAATCTTCGTCGGTGGCTTAAAGGACGACATCGAGACGGAGCATCTGATCGAGCATTTCTCTAGCTTTGGAGAGGTGGAGAAGGCCGAGGTGATCTCCGAGAAAGACACGGGGAAGAAAAGAGGCTTCGGCTTTGTCTACTTCACTGACCACGATTCTGCTGATAAAGCCGTGGTCGTCAAATACCACACAGTCAACAATCACAAAGTGGAGGTGAAAAAGGCACTGACGAAGCAAGAGATGCAGTCTACACGCGGTTCGATGAATCCCAGAGGCCGCGGGCGCGGAGGCATGAGAGGAAATCAAAATGGCTACGGTGGCAGAGACTTCGGCGGAAGCTACGGCTATGGAAATGGCGGCGGCTATGGCGGTGGTGGCTATGGCGGCTACGGAGCTCCTTATGGGGGAGGGTACGACCAGGGCAGCTATGGGGGAGGCAACGGCTACAACGACTTCGGTGGCGGCTACGGTCAGCACTCTTCTGGTTACGGCCCGATGAAAGGTGGACCTTTTGGGGGCCAGAGAAGCAACGCTCCCTACAGCAGAGGGGGTGGTGGCGGCGGTGGATACCCCAGGGGGGCCTATGGCGGTGGCTACTAGAGACAATGGAAAATCGATTACCCCTCCCCCATCTTCATCCATCTGTTACCCAAATCCTGGATTCCACAAGCAAAACTCAGAAATGGGGCTTCTGCTGTGAAACCACTGCAGAACAATGACAGAGCCCCAATGATAACGACGACCTCAGACCAAACAGGTAGGAAGGTCGCTTCCCAAAACCTGGTAGAAAAAAATCTGGATGTTTTCTAGGACACAAAAATAGGACACAATACATAAATGATCCCTTTTTTTATTATGTATAAACGCTTACATTGAGTAGGTGTCGTTTAAGTGATTTTTATTTGCCGTCAAATGCATTTCCTCGTAGAGTGTTTTTTTTTTTTTTTTAAAAAGCTCTTTATTATTTTAATGCATTTTAAAGCAAGTAGCATAGATTTTGTTTCCTGGTGTGGTTTCAATGTATCAATATAAGATCGCATGTTTTTGTTATACTACTTGTTTAACTGCACTAGCGTTCGTTTGATAAGCAGGACACTTCTCATATTCTGTTCCCTTCACATAGTGTAGATTAAAATATTGTTAGTATTCCATGCAGATATATTGTATACTGTATACTTTGTCTGGAGATCAAAACATGTTTACCTACTTGCTTATGTATGTTCATTTTAAATAAAACCTTATACCACTTAGCTTAGTTCTTACTTATTTAACAAAGATGTTTAAGTTGCTTCACAGGTATTACAGTTTAAATGCAATCATCTTTTGAATTAGTTGTTACATGGATTCTCTTCAGTTATTACAGTACTTAAGGTGGGTGAAACCTGTATACCAGTAGTCTACCCACAGCCATTGCATGTAGGCTTGGAAGAATTTTGCTTGACATTTACTTGTATATTTTATATTTATGTGGACTTGAGGGTTGTTGTTTACCTTTTATTCCCTATATTTAGGTGTTCTAACTCATATTCCAGTAGGCTATCCCCAGCCAAAATAGCCGTAGGAGTTTTTTAGACTACAGGACCCTGTTGATTACCTGGGGTCGATTGTGATAGGAGTCTGAAATATCTCTTTAGGATATCTACATCCAGCAATCTAGGTATGTAAATCAACCTGTCTTCACTCTGTGTTGTTTTGAGATGGTGCACAAATTATATGCCATTACAATTTTAATTGTTTATTTGCGTTTTCTCTAGCTAATAAAATAGATGTTCACACTTTTTTCCATAAATCGTGATCTAGAAGGGGCACTAAATGCATTCATTTGGTGCCCACAATAACGCTGCATTTATTCCTCTCCTCATTCTGCTTTTCTTTCTCTCCCAGGTTGCTATGGTAACCTGGATACAGAGCATCACTCTGCAAATGGCGGGGTGTGTCTCGAGGAAATGGAGGGATGTGTCGCCTTCACCACAGGTGAAGTCCATGTTACAGGATTCAGGTGTGCTCTGAAGCCAGCACCCTTCATTTTTACATACCTGAATTTAAGGTCTAGAGAAGGCACTCTGGGCAATATTTTGTGTATTAAATTATTTTATAGTCTTTGGTTTGTTCTTTATTGAGTTTCCTCAAATAACAATGAGAAATATTTAAATACATTTCTAACAAGTAAAACAGGGTATTGTGGTCAAACCTAAGTGTTTTTAACAAGTATTTTGTGATAGGTTATTCTGAAGTAAGTTAATTATACATTAAACAGGACAAAATGGGAATTTTATGAGTAATCTATCTTCAGCTGTTAAACAGTTGGTACATAGTCACAATTAATCTTACATAGCTGTCAACTAATGTAATCTAATGGGTATTTAACGTTACTAAGAGGGTTTATGAATGCATAATTTGATAATTGGGTCAGCATATAACAAAGTTAGCTCTAATGAAAATGCTCTCCAGCTTTGTTCGAGTGAAATACACATCCAAACCTTTTTTGATCTAAATAATTGATTAGTTGGCTTATCAAAATGACGCTATTAATATTTTCAAGGTAATCACATGTAAAGTGGCTCTTACAACTATGAAGATCATCAAATCTGTTACGGTCAATTCAATTTGGTTTTGTGTAGCCCTAAATCAACAATCGCCCTAGAGATCTTTACAAAGTTGATAATTCACTAACACAGATCAGAGAAATGAACAATTCAATCACAGATATCGCAATAATACAGACATTGGAGCAATCAGTTTAACAGGAGCTGGATGTGCAATGTTAATGAATCCCCTTGAGTACAGACGAAATATCTGGTTTGTTCACATTTTAACAAGATTCTGTAGGCAAAGAAATAAAATATGAAGGGGGGCAAGTTACGTACTCTCGCTTTAATTTAAAACAAACTATTTTTGTCGGGTTTAGGAGAACTGTATATAGAAAAATTAGTTCCAAAATGTTATGAGACACGTTTTTGTATAAGCTATACTGTTGTTTTTTTTTGTTAAAAAAACAAAACTACAAAATAGCACTTAACTTATTTTTTCATAAAAAGCATTTTGAGATTTGTCTTCTGTATCTCGACATGCCCCTTAAATCGTCACAGATTTACTGCTCAAAAGGTAGTTTAGAGGTGGAACAAATATCAGCCATTATTTTTTTGGGAGAATTTACTAGAACTACAAAGGTGGAAAGCAATATGTTCAGTCCTTTGTGTGCTTTTGTCATGATCTGTTGTTTGATCTATAAATTAGAAAAACAGTGCTAAAATTGACAATTGGTAATAGCTCATCCATTAATTGGTCCAAAACATGAATTTGCTGATAAATGTGATTTTTAGACGCCGCGCCGTAATTACTAAAACAATGAAACAGGAAATGCCTTGTATGTAGTCCAGTGGCTTCACTTACGGTTCATCTGGGTCTAATTGAGAAACTATATTTGTATTCCAAACAACTAATCGATAAATTGATTAGTATTAGTATTTTTTAGTAGGATTTGTCCTATCAATGAGACGAGATAGGGTCTGTTTTTCTATTGGACAGCAAAGCTTCACATGTATGTTCTTAAGTAGCATTGTTGGATGTGAATCATGTTTCGCTCAAAAGACACCCTGCCATTTGAATGGCCATTCGGTTCAAAATTACTCTTCATGGCACAGTGCAGAATGTCCAGCAAAGACTTCCAGAGACCAAGTAGGTAAATATAAAGTAGACTACTGTCACACAAAGACAAAGCTTTACAATGTTGATGTATTTTGCAGAAGCAGGACTGCAACCAGCTAGCGTTACCAGACCCTCCGACCACCACCAACCATTTGTTTACATAGCTCATTAATATGCCACATGTTGTTTTATTGGAAGGGGAAACTGGAGCAGAATCAGGGACAATATGCAAACTCTTTAAAGAAAGGTTGACCCTGGAATGTCTTGGCGCTAGGCATTTCTGTATTAAGTTTGCGTGTTCCTCCTGTTTCTGTGTAGGTTTCCTCTGGGCCTTCTGCAGGACCTTTTGCTGCAAGGTGAAAGCTCTAACTGCTGCACCACTGTCAGCCAACTAAGAATTTTGCTTACAGGAGATATTTTGCCATCTACGTTTAACATGCATATGGAATTGACATGTTTTTGCTGGTCAGGCGTGTTGTGCACACAGAGCACAAAACTTATCTCAGGAATAAATATTAAGACATGTAGCTCTGAAATCTTGTTTTAATTAAGTTAGCTGTATTTTTCCTAACCCAAACTGGATTAATGTGGATCATTCATTAAATGTTCAAATACTTTTGGGCTTTCATTCAATCTTGCAACTGTACTGTGTTATGAAGATATATGAATCAATAGAATCTGAATCAATTTCTGAAAAGTTCTTGAGCTCATAGCATCAAGGAGAATGTTCACCCATTTGTATTGTGTGTGTGTGTGTGTATACAAGGTACTACTTGTTGCTTTGTAATAAGTCTTTTTTTATTCTTTTGTAGGCAATGTTTATCAACATCTTGTTGAAAGCATCGTGCTGGTGAAGATCTATTGCAATAAATGTATATTTTTATATTCTATTTTTTGTTTGAAGTTTGTTTTAGTGTCTGCTTGGGGATACTATATGCCAACATTTGTCCTAAAACAATCAATCATCCACCGTTCAAGCATTTCTGGTTTGATTGTTATTGGACTGGTGTAAAGTAATAGTGTATGAATTCATATGTACTATTCACAGCAACATGTGCCACTTGTTTAATTAAGTTATTGCTTAGCCAGCATGAAGCCCGCTATTGTATAGCTAAAGTAAAATGTTCTTGTCATGATTAGGAACATTTGAGAACATATATTAACATTTGTTCGAACTGTTTGATTCTCTGATCTGTTATTGGCGAATCAACATTTTTAAATGTCTGCGAGACAACTGCAATCGTAATTTATATAAATAAATAGAATTAAATGTTAATGGGTAAATATCAGGGAAATTCGTAAGACTAACTAGTGAATCTGAAGGCAGAAACCCGGGGTTAGTGCTACATCCTATACAGAAACCACGCTTTCTTCAAAACGAAACTGCATTTCCCCCGGACTTGAAGGCACCACGGGCTAAGCCAATCAGCATGTGGGTAGGGGCGGTGAATCATTTAACCCAACCAGTGAGCGCGTGACACGTCTTTGCAGAGGTCGCGAACACAAGTCCCGCCCCCAATGTCTTTCATTGAAGAAGGAGAGGACCGTGTGCAGCGCGTGCAGCAGATCAGACATGGCGTCCAAACTTTGTAAGCTTTTTGTTGGCGGTCTGAACGTGCAGACAGATAACAGCGGCCTCCGGGAGTATTTTCAGCAGTATGGTAACCTTACGGACTGTGTTGTGGTTATGAACCAAAATCTTGGCCGCTCCCGGTGTTTCGGCTTTATCACCTTCTCTACGCCGGAGGAGGCCGACGCAGTAATGGCGGTGAAACCACATGTCGTCGATGGAAACACCGTGGAGCTCAAGAGGGCCATCGCCCGTGAAGATACCAACAACCCTGATATACATGCTAATGTCAAGAAGATCTTTGTCGGTGGGCTTAAAGACCATATCGAGAGCGAGCACATGACCCAGTACTTCTCTCAGTACGGCATGGTGGAGAAGGCCGAGATCATTTCAGACAAGCAGACCGGTAAGAAGCGAGGCTTCGGCTTTGTTTACTTCTGCGATTGCGACTCTGCCACTAAAGCTGCGATCCCCAAGTTCCATGACATCGAGGGTCTCAGAGTTGAGGTGAAGAAGGCCCAAACCAAACAAGAGCTGGCTACTAAGACCCGAGGCAGAGGAGGAGGAAGAGGAGGGATGCAGAACTATGGCGGTGGCCGAGGGGGTGGAGGCTATGGCGGAGGCTACGGCGCTAGCGGCTACAGTGGCGGTTATGGCGAAGGCTACGGAGATAGCTACGGGTACGGAGGTGGTTACGGACAGACCGGAGGATACGGTGGATACGGCGAGTACGAGAACCACATGGGAGGTGGTTACAGCAACGGTGACTTTGGGGAAAGCTATGGACAGCAGGCCTCCGGGTACGGTCCCATGAAGGGGGGTAATTATTCGTACCGGAGTGCGGCCCCTTACGGTAGAGGAGGTGCTCCGGTCGCTGGATACGGAAGAGGGGCTGGGTTTGGGGGAGGTTATTAATATTTTTTGTGGGTATTTTGTTTTTTTTTTCATGGGGGGATTCCTAGTACAAAAAAACTGAGATCGCACACGTTAGTCAGGTGGGCCGACAAGGATCTTTCCTTTTTTAAATGGAGCGGATGCCTCTACCCACACTGAATGACTGCCCTGACACCTGGGAGACCCCATCTGGACACAATCTGTCCTCCTATTCCACATAATTGACTTTACTGAAATTTGTGTATTAAATCATATTTTGTGTTGTGCTGGGGGAAAGACTTTGAAAACATTTGTAAAACAGTCACTGCTTCTTTACTTGGCACTGGGTTTGTTGAGCCATGAACTGGCTCGATCTGTTAAATGTTGCATCATGAACTCAGGGTTTTTAAGTAAAGTAGGAGGCAGTGTACAGCGTGGGACATGATTGTGTTAATTAGAAAACTTTGTGAATTCAGACGATGTAAATTTATTGTTTCTTTACCGTCCCATTATCACGGAGGCTATTGTTTATACAAACATGTTCAGTTCATATTGTTTTATTCTGCTTTTATTAAAGTTTTTAATGTTTTCAAAATTTAGAATTTGTTTTGTTAATTTGTTTGTCTGTAAATGAATGCCTGCCAAAAATTCCACCAGAGGGGGCAATAAAGGCATTTATGAAGTCGTTCAATAAAATCTTACAAGCTTTTATTTTTTCTGTTCCACACTGAGTGCAATTTCATATAAGCACTGGTTTGATCCGTCGGTATTTAAATGTAGAAGGATCACGCTAAATTTTCACTCTCAAACATTTTCAGAGGTTTTAATTCATCAGTCGCTGCTTCTAATCATGCACGACTGTAGCTCAGACCTCCACACAGCATCTGTGGCAGGCTGCTTCCTCCATGGTTATGTGCAGTGAGGGCAGACTCTGAGGATGGACGAGGATGGAGGGTCTGTGGGGTGAGTGTGCTCTGCAGCTTGTCATTTTAGGACAGACACTTCATTAGGTTTATTTGAACTAAACGTGTTTCAGTATAATGTGAAGATCCTGCTGAACACAGTCGGTGTTGCCTTGTACGAGACAGGCTAATGACGTTAGCTTCGTCAGCTGATGCACTTGTTCTTTTATGTTAAAGTCAGGCGATTAATTGCGGGTTTTATTGTTGTGGCCTTTTCTTGCTTCATTAACTGTTTGAATACAGTGAGGCTTATCACCTTCAACATTGGACCGTAAAAAATCAAAGCACCGCTGAAAGTGTTTAAGCTGTGAACATTAGCATAGCTAAATGCTAGCATCCAACTTGCAACAAGCCTAAAACAAAACGACTCAAATGGAACAAACGCTTTACTTCATCCCATTGTCTGTCTCCCGCGTCTGCATCACAATTTTTATTTCTAATATTTCTGTTATCGTACCGTGCATTACATTTTTAGTGCATGTTGACTTTGCCAGTAGAATGCTGTCTATTGCCAGTGCCCATCTTATTTTAACATACTTTCTTGTCCAGTCTGGAGGCCACCTTGGCCTCACAGCGTCCAACCTGCAACACAGACTCGGAGGAGGACATGATAAGTGGTGGAATGCACACGTTCAACCAGACCCACATGAGGAAAGCCTTCCACCTAATGAACGACCTGAGGAGGTTTGTTTGGCGATGTAAAAAACGATAGTGACCTTTTACTTCACTACATGTAACGCAATGTTTTTGGGCAGCAAAAAGCAGCTGTGTGACATTCGTCTTGTAGCTGGGGGATTTGAAGTAGCTGCCCACAGAGTTGTCCTGGCATCCTGCAGCCCCTACTTCTGTGCCATGTTCACAGGTATGTGCTGAACACGTTATATGAAACTACTGTACTGTACTGTAAACCTGTGTCTGCAGGTGACATGAGTGAGAGCAAGGCACATCAGGTGGAGATCCAGGAGGTAGATGGACTGACCCTGCAAAAACTAATTGACTACATTTACACCGCTGAAATAGCGGTTACAGAAGACAATGTTCAGGTATCTCATAAATATGTATTTAATTTGAAATTTATAGGCAATACAATCTGACGTTATATTGTATAACTTTAAAGCCAAAACATTGAGTTTGCATATGGTTGATATTTGGTCAATTAAATGATTTTTGTTTTGCAGTGCTTTGTCTGTAGATCTCAGAACTAATCCAATTGTAGCTCAAGGCTGGTTAACACTTCCTGTGATTATTAGTTCAGGAAATGTGCATGAAGAGAGTCAGGAAATCCTCTCACTGTTGGGAGGTGAATGTTAAAAGCAAGGAATAGATTTCAAATTTTTAAAGTTAACAGTTTTTCCTTTTTCACTCAAGTAGCTTGTGTGAATCTTTTAACTTTTGATAACCATTAAAGGCAATGGCTTCATTTAATACCTTTTCCATGGAAATGCTAAAAAAATAAAATAAACAATTCCAACTATAGGCGTGCAATTAATTAAATCTGATGTATAAGATTAAGAAACATTTAACGTTTTTTAAAGCCAATGCCACATTACACTAAATGTTTGTGTTTTTAGGTGTTGCTGCCAGCTGCCAGTCTGCTGCAGCTAATGGACGTCCGGCAGGTATGTTGTGAGTTTCTTCAGTCGCAGCTCCATCCTACAAACTGTCTGGGAATAAGAGCCTTCGCGGACCTACATACATGTTCTCAACTTTTGAACCAGGCACATGCATACGCTGGTAACTTCATACTTGGTTTATTATAACCATTATGTATTAAAACAAAATGTATAATAATATCAAAACCACTTTCATGTTATGAATGCTTCTTTTTTATCTACTAGAACAGCATTTCCCTGAAGTAGTGCAAGGAGAAGAGTTTCTTAGTCTGTCTTTGCAGCAGGTCTGCAGCCTCATCTCCAGTGATAAACTAACTGTCTCCACTGAAGAGAAGGTTTGTGCTCTCATATATCATCTGTTCTTTATGTTTGGCTGATTACCAAATGCCAGAAGCTGGGATCACAAAACTTATTTATGTTGATACGCCTTTGCTGCTGTACTTTAACCAAATCAACATTATCTGCTGTGCTTCAAACCACATGGAGACGTTGAAGTGTGAAAGACATTAACATAAATCCATTATTTAAGTACAAGGGTGCGGTTTCTGCCCTATCACCGGAGGGGGCAATGTTTTTTAATCAATCATCTTTTTGTAATGGTGATGTCTTGCCGACACCCAAGTGGAAGTTAAATTCAGTGCTTGAACTCAGTCAGTTGGTCTGTTCTTCTTATCACTTAAAATTAAAGTGGAATCTAAAGTGGCTCTAAAAACCTAAATTAGTGTGGTTAAAATGCTCTCTTATCTTACTGAAATGCAGACTTTTTGTATTCCTAGGTATTTGAGGCGATGATATCCTGGATTAAACATGATAAACCATCTCGTCTTGAGTATATGTCCAAACTTATGGAACATGTTAGACTCCCACTTCTTTCAAGAGATTATCTTGTTCAGGTAACTAACATGTGTTCACTTTTGTACGATTGTGAAAAGTTAATAACATTGGCAAAATATGAATTTTTTGTTTCCTTACATCAAGCAGCAAATAGAAAAACAAATGTATTTTTCAGATTGTGGAGGAGGAGGCGTTGATTAAAAACAACAACACATGTAAAGATTTTCTCATAGAAGCAATGAAATATCACCTGCTACCTGCAGACCAAAGACACCTCATCAAGACTGACAGAACTCGGCCGCGAACTCCAATCAGCATTCCAAAGGTACACAGAAACACTCAGACAGAGCCAAACACAAACAACTTGGCTAAATACATCTTTTTTTAAATCAGGTAATGATTGTAGTTGGTGGACAAGCACCAAAAGCCATCCGGAGTGTTGAGTGCTACGATTTCCAAGAGGACAGATGGTACCAGGTTGCTGACCTGCCATCACGACGCTGTAGAGCAGGTAAACTCTGCTGATATTATGTAAAAGGTTAATAATCACACTTTAACTCCAACTATTTTGTATGTTTATGCAGGTATAGTTTCTATGATGGGTCGAGTTTATGCTGTTGGAGGTTTCAACAGCTCTCTGAGGGAGAGAACAGTGGACGTCTATGATGGAGTGCAGGATCAGTGGACTGCAGTGGCCAGCATGCTGGAGCGGCGCAGTACACTGGGGGCTGCTGTTCTGGGAGATTTGCTTTATGCAGTTGGAGGTTTCAATGGAAGCATAGGTGCCATTATAAAAACATCTCTTTTTTTTCTTTGATTCCACAAGTGCAACAATGACTCTTATATTTTTGTAATTTTAGGTCTTTCCACTGTTGAGGCGTATAACTGCAAAACTAACACATGGTTTTATATAGCCTCTATGAACACCAGGCGAAGTAGCGTTGGCGTTGGAGTGGTCGATGGTGAGATATTTTGTAACTTTCTGTTGCTTTGTTTTCAAGGGGTGCATTTACAAAAAATAAGATTATGGAGTACGTTCAAAAACCGCACTCAATTCGATGGGATTATCAAACTGGTCTAATGATAGATATAGATACTTTATTTATCAGAAACACATGCATCCATACAAACGCCCCACAGCAACTGAATTCCTGGTTAGCTTTTGCGTTGCATAATTAAACATGTGCAGCCAGAAACTTATGATTTGATTCCTAACAAAAAAAATATTTTCCATGTGCACTCATGCGTCACTGCTTGTTGTCTCATTCCCATCTGATTGATGTGGATACATGAAAGCTTAGTTTTTCATGTATCCACATTAGTGAAGAAAGTGACAAAAGTTGTGCAGGTCTGAGATTCTCACAGAAGACATTTTTTTGTTTGTAAAAGACACGACCAAATATTTGCAACGTGCATGTGATTTCATAGAAGGCAAAACACTCCTCTCAGAATCTGCAACGGCACCAATAGTTATGTTAGCTTCGACATTCAGATAACCAAAAGTGGAAAATCACTGAGTTCTGCATACTGTCTTCGTGTCGCAAGAGATCCATGAGTTTACAAGCAGATTTATCAATTGACTGATATTGCAGTTGGTGTTAGACTCAGTTTTCACTCGTGCTTTATATACACACTCATTGAATTGTCTGCTGTTTGTGTTCAAGGTAAGCTGTATGCAGTTGGAGGCTATGATGGTGCCTCACGCCAATGTCTCAGCACAGTAGAAGAATACGACCCGCTGACTGACCAATGGTGTTATGTGGCCGACATGAGCACGAGGCGGAGTGGAGCAGGTCTGCCAAATCTTAATTTCAATTGTCTCTCCGATTTTTTTTTCCCCTTTTTAACTTTACAGTGTCTTGCTCTGCTCAGGTGTGGGGGTGTTGGGCGGGCAGCTGTATGCAGCAGGCGGACATGATGGTCCTCTGGTGAGAAAGAGTGTGGAAGTGTATGACCCCCAGAGTAACACATGGAGGCTTGTCTGTGACATGAACATGTGCAGGAGAAATGCAGGTGAGAAACACTACATGCAGGGCCTCTCCAAAGTACTCACACCCCTTGAGTGTATGCACATTTTGTTCAAAACCTTTTAACAAAGATTTGATTTAGAATTTTTTTACTGAAACTAGTAGACAATTGTGACAAGAAAGGAAAATGATGCAGGATTTTGTTAAATTAGAAAAAGAAAATGGAAAAGTAGGTAAATACTATACTTTACTATACTATATTCACTGTCCTCGCTGAAGAAAATCAGTCCCATAACATGATGCTGCCACCCCAGCATTTGGGCCAGTGCACTGAGGGTGAATTAACAGTGTTAGTTTTTGAGCTGCGAGTTTGCATCTTGTGTCCATAGCTCAGATGTAATATATACTGAGAGTATATTACACACAGTTGGACTCTTTTTAATCATTTGGGCAAGGTATGGACATTCAGTCATTAGAAATGTTTTAAAGGCAACTTAATGCACATACTCTGCCCCTCTTTTTTATTTTTAAAATAATATAAATATCATGTATAATTTTGTTTTATTTCATAATTGTCTGTTACTTGTGTGTGAACTTTTAGTAAATATTTGTTTTACAAAACATACAAACACAACTTCTGCTTCAATTATTTCATATTTACAACCACAAACATTTAAGATTTGATTTTGTTTTGTGTTTGTAAATAGACAATGATGCATGAATTATTCAAAAGCTTCAAAGTGGGGCTTGCAAGTATTCATACAGCATGAGTTAATACTTTGGAACCCCCTTTTTTCTTGCCTGGGAATACCCATGCTGCGCTCAAATCATGAATTAATGCCATTATTAGTCTTGTCAAACTGCACTTTTCTGCATGGATTTGGGGTCCAATCACAGAATTAAGAGGAAGGGCAAGACGATGATGCCTACTGCAGTAATCGTTCGTTGTGTAAGCATCATTTGTTTTTTGCTACTTTGCTTCATGTTAAATTCCTGTCTCGCTCAGTGGGGGCGGGTCCCAGCTCAAAAGTGGCCAAAATGACGTGCGCTGACATGCTTGCAATACCACCCCGGTAGGGCTGAAACAACTAATCGATTAATCGACGACTAATCAATTATTGAAATAGTCGACAACTATTTTAGTAATCGATTAATCGTTTTCTGGTTCACACTGACTCAAACAGAGCAAAAATGACATGAAAATGTAGTATTTTTGATTAAAACCGACTTTGTTTTTATAATTTCATGAATATCTGTCTGTGCTAATTCTGCTATCTGATTGGATGAGACAAAGAGCCTGTTACAAACATTTACTTTAAGGACATCAATACGTCCTCGAGTGTTGCCACTTTAGCTTTTTGTGATGAAAAAATAAAAAATTTCTACACAATTCACAGCCAAGCGATTACTCGATTAATCGTAAAAATAATCGATAAATTAATCGATTACAAAATAATCGTTAGTTGCAGCTCTACACCCCGGGCCGATGGGGGTGGACCCAGAAGAAGAATTAGCCGATGCTAACATATTGGCAGACCTCTCGAAAACGTCTTTACAGGATGGACCAAAAGTTGGCTCTGAAGCTCCGTTCCACATGTGTGTCAATGCTGAGAGGGGTGAATTTTTTTGGTCCACTCTAGTTTACTTGCTGTGAATTTTTGAAGTCTCTCGTTCAAATGAATGGAGCTGCGCTGGCTGACGCATGCGCAGATGCGTTTTTTCACAATTTTCTTGTGGGCGGGACCACTCGCTGCCATTTTGGATAGCTCCAGTAGAGCACATTTTTTGGCCCATTAGTTAGAACGGCGGAGATGGGCGTGACTCTGTCCGTTAATATTTACAGTCTATGGTCCCGCTACATACATCCCCAGGTAGAATTGATGTGATTGGATGCATTTGATAAAGACAATTGTTGCACCAAAATAAACTGCTGTGGGCAATTGTGTAAACCACACCTTTCTCATGATATTTAGTCTGGTGTTGGCCAGGCAACAATTTTCCTGAAATCACAGCAGGGAGTCTGAAATTGCGCTGTGTATATACAAACATAATAATGTATCAATTTACTTTTACCACAACAATGTAACAGTTGTTGGGTACATTGTTGTGGTAACAGAGAACTGTGAGGTCAAAGATGAAAAATAAATCTTTTTTCAAGTTGAATAAAGTCCAAAATAAAAATATAATAGTCCTTCCACATTTAAAACAATCACAAGTCTTCTTGCTTTCAGATAATATCACAACCTGTACTATTGCCTTTTATTGGTCTCACTGCACTTTTTTCATTTGAGTTAGAAATGCCAATAGATGTTTTTAATACACATATATTTAAATTTAACGGGTACGTTTATATAAAAATAGTTTTGACTGCTATTTGGAAAAGTTTCATATTCCATCTGCAAATATTTAAAGTGAAAAATATGCAAAAGCCACTTCATCTCAATGACCTTGTGATAAAAGTGAATATTTTTTTTGAATGAAGGAATAATGGCCTTGAATTGAAAATGCTTGTGACTTTCATTCAGGTGTTTGTGCCATCAATGGGCATCTCTATGTGATTGGTGGAGATGATGGTTCCTGCAACCTTTCCTCTGTGGAGTTTTACAACCCAGCAACCGATAAATGGAGCCTCATTCCTACTAATATGAGCAATGGGCGCAGCTATGCAGGTTTGTCAAGGGGTACTGGCAAATGAGTATTTTATATTATCTTTGTTGACATTTATGTAGTTGTATTTTTTCTCCCTTCAGGAGTCGCAGTCATTGACAAGTGTGTCTGACAAGTGTGTGCAGACTTGATGCCTCCAAGTCTGAGTCTGAGCACTGTTCCTCAACATTTGAGACATAGCACTACAATACGAGCAATAGAAACATAAAATCAAGAATCTGCTAAACATATAATGTTGGAGGAATATGGGTCAAATACAGGACAAAATGTGGTATCTGCACAGTTTGGGACCTGACTTCCATGCAGATCAAGTGCCAGGACTCATCAGTGCCAGGACTCATCAGTGCCATGGGAAACATAACTTACCAATGCGGTGTGCAATGGAGCCACGTTTAATTGTGCGGACTGGACCAAGTATGCCATCCTTTTCAAACAACTTTTGTTGAATCTGGAAAGGAAGTGAATGTATAAAACTGAATGAAAAATTATCAAATCTATTTTTTCAATCTCATAAGAAGCCTAATAACTGCTGCTATTATAGTTTTGTATTGAATGCACTACAGATGTACTGACTGTCACTGGTCCCAGCTCTTCTTCCTGCTGAAACTATTTTTAAAGCACCACTTTTGGATTTTATTCTTGTAATTGCTACTTGTCAGAAACATATTGTATAATAACATGATGAGTCTGTTAAAATGCACTGTTTTGCAAAAGTGGTTGGATTACATGTATTTATTGTGTTTAGAGAAAATATTCTCAGAGTTTAAGCATTTAACCTTTTTATGGTAAACTATGTAAATACATTTTGTCCCCCTCTGTAGTTCTACCTGTTTCTTTACATTGTGGATGTACAGTTAGCAAAGAATGTATTTTCTCTTCCTACTTTTTTTTAAATTCAGACGTCTTTCATGTAATATTTCATAATTTTCTAATTTGTGTTTACACCGTGAGAATCTTTCTCTCAATCCGAAAAAACTGTTGATGCATTTTTTTTTTAATGTATTGAAATTCATTGAATTCTGTATTTTCTTAAAGCACAAACTTTTAATACAAAACTGGTTTGTGGCAAGTTTTGTATTGTCAACCTTGGAAGGCCCAGACTGTAAGTTGCTAAAATCTATGTTTTGGTCATAGACTAAATGCTAGAACATGAACGGCCATATGTCCTTCACAAGAAAATAACACCAACCGTTACATGACTGGAATTAAACAGATGAACATAATTATGTTTTGCATACAAACTATTTGCAGGGATGTCTTTCTGGTTATCGTTTCTCACACGCATTACTTATCCAGAGTTGGCTAGAATATGAACTCTCCGAGTGTACATTTAGTAAAGTGCTGATCTGGGGATCAATGCCTGAAAAGATCCCCAAATCTTTTCAGGCATTGTATATTAGACAAGTACACAGCGCCATTCTGGCCGTAGGATGGCGCTGTGTACTTGTCTAATATTTTTGGGAAGTTTCGGAGGCGGGCCACTAATGTTACAAAGTGTTCGATATGCATTATTAACATTTTTGGATCAACTCTCTTGAAGGATGAATGCAGATGGCAAATCTCTCACTAAAGCCACAAGTGAACAGTCGGTCGGCTGCGCTCTGTGACAGACTTCAGCAGTAACATCTGGCTAATATTAGCTTAGCTTATTTGGCTAACATTAGCTAATGCTACGTGCTAACAGCTGGCACCCGGAAGGCCGCTGCTTCGCCGGGTGGAGATTTCACTTTCTCCTAAACGTCTTAAACAATCGCCCTTGAGCGCTATGTGAGATTACACCCCGTGTTTTGTGTAGTCTCGGTGAGAATGGATTCATCGGTGGGTTTCGGGATTAGTGACGAAGTGTGCCTTGCAATATCCTTTTTTTAAGACATGTGAAGCGATCCTTGGCTAATGTTAGCATATTACCAGGTAAAAAGTGTTTATTACAGATGCTTCCCATGTACATTTTCTGATTGTGATTGTGACATATCACAGGTATCACAGGTACATGGCAGTTATTCTCACATGAGATTTGTTGAACTGGACAATAGCGTAAAAATGCACATATGGAATATTATGTTGCAATGTAAACAGTAAATTTAGCTTAGTATTTCTGTGTTTTTCTCCCAGTTGACATATTGTTGCATGGCTCTAACCACCTCTTTAATCTTACTTACTGTTTTAACTTTTGCATGTAGACTTCTATCCATTGCTTCACATATACAATAAGTAAAGTGGTCTTACTAAATTCACACATGTTAATCTGTAATATTTGTCCTTGATCACATTGCTCACACGGTCAGAGGTCAGGAGGTGAGATCTGGCCTGAAGGAGCCCAGGTTATTGTCTCTCATTGAACGCTCTGGTCACTTTTTGTAAGTATCACCCAACTTGAGTCATCAAGTTGGAACTTTAGATGTCTAGGATGATGATTCTGATGTCCCGCAATGATATAAGTACATTTTAGAGAGCCGTTCTCTTGAATGTATTATAAGAATATTGTATCGTTACCAAGTTTCCCTGTGCTCATTATTCAGAATTCTTAAAATCCAGGCCCATAATTAGACTCACATGAATCCACAAGCCTGTGCTTTGCTAACTATGTTAAAGCTACACTACCGCCAGGAATCATTCTGACAGTACAAACTATAAGACAGTGATACAGGCTGAACTAGGATATTGCTGACACAGTTTGTGCTGGAAGAGCTGAATCATTTTCCTGTTTCAAGCTGTTATCACACGTTTAGTATCCTACACAGAGCAGTGCACTTTTAAAATGTGGCTTTTCCTACACATCAGTTTTGTTCATTTTGTTGGTGTTCTGCACACATTCATGATATATGTAAACTCAACAGATTTCATCAACTCAATTTGAATCATTTTAAGCAGTTGATAAGTGGAAAGCATGTTTTTTGTATTTTAATCCTCACCACAAATGTCTTGCCTAATACACTATTTCCTTTAGTACACTAATGCCTTATTTGTGTTAATAACTATTAGGTTATCCAAACCGTCAACATCTAAGTGTTTCCACTTCTTCTGTAATTCAGATTGTATGTGTTGGCCACTCCTGATGCTGTCGTCTCCAGACCTGTTGCCCAGCTCTCTATTCCAGTCAATAAACATTTTGAGTGTCTTCGAGGTATGTTATTTTAGGCCAGAACTTTCATATTTTCCTTTGGGGGTTTGTAATGACCATGTGTGTCCTGCTATTTCTCATTCATCAGAAGCTGACGAAGCTCTTTTAATTGATCTATCTGTAAGTTGTAAGTATACATTTTTGTATTTAAGTCTGTATTGTCTTTATCTGTGGTGTTCTCTTGTGGTTGTACAATAACACTGTGTGATGTATAAATGGTACAAAGAGATACCATTTACAAAAGAGGTAGACAAAGAGTGCATTTTGTTTATCATCATTAACAATTGAACAAGCCAAATGTCTACCTCAGAATGTGGGAGCAGGCGTTAGTCATGAGTTGCCATGGCCTTGTAGAGGAATGTCCCTTTGCCTGAAGCAGACCACTATGCTATGTGCCAACTCGTCTGTGTTTCCAGTGGCTAAGCGTGTGTAACCATATGTGTATTCTATTCCTGCAAAGCCGCTGTACGAGTACGCGTCAAAGGAGACAAGAGCCCTGAACTTCTTTTAGAACTTCAGGATGATGAACGGACCCAGCTCTTTCTCACACAAGTGAAAAGTGCTCAAGAACAAGGTAAGACTGTCTGCATGATCAATTATTTAGATCTCCATGTAACTTTGATCCTAAAGAGTGGATTACAGTCTTAAGATATCTTGTTTGAAGCTTCAATTCTTTATAGCAAGAACATTCTTTTTTATTTTGGTTGGGTTTTTTTGGCACATTACAAGCCTATTCTATTGTGCCAAACTATTAGGCCACATCCCCTTAAATACCAGGCCACATCCCCTTAAAGCTGATGTGGCCTGGAGCAGGGCCTCCACCTGCTTGTTTCAATAGAAATGTGCATGTCGTTAATTTAGCTGGAAGGGTCAAAGTAATGCTTGGGTGTTCTGGAGTGTGGTTTAAGCTTTCCATGTCCATGAGGTGTAGTGCCACTTAAACTGCTGAACACATTACTGAAAGTTTATATTTTATTTAGTTCAATCTAAAGTTGTGAAACCGGACGTGATGGAGCCCGCTGTACCGAGAGGTCCTGTGCCTATTGCCCCTCAGAGAGGAAGTAAGGCTTCCAACGCTGTGTGCTCTGGAGTCTGTCCTCCAAGAAAGAACAGTTCTCTGCCCAACCTCAACAGCTCCTCAGTCCAGCTGAAAAAAACAGGTTTGTCATCATGTCAAGTCTTAGCGCAGTATTTTCGAGTCCACACAGTATATTTATTTTAATTTTTATGGAGAAGCAATACAAAAATGTCAGTTACTGTGTAGATAAAAAAAATAAGGACAATTCTCTATTAAATACACATAGCCTTATATATTCTATTAGTATGTATGTATGTAGTTAACTTGGTTGAATATTAGTTTTTATCTCTTATTTTCTCATGCTCATTACAAAGCATTTTTATAGTTGGTCAATTATGTGTTTCAAATATTTCTTTATTCTTTCATGGGGATGTGCCCTCCTGCTTTCCTCTCTGTAACCTGTTCCTCTCAGTTTTAGATCCTTTATATCCTCCTTAGTTCTAAGGAGGATATAAAACACATTTCACCCCATGTTTTTGAGGCACAACAAATACATACAATTAATAAAGATTACTTACTCTTATACACCACAACGAGTTATGTATAATCTTTTTGGGAGGTTAATCATTATATTTGCTTTTGCTGTTAGTTTTAATATTTACATAGAAGAAAAAAACAAAGCTGAAGTTGGTCAAAAAAAATCACTTCTATGCTTGATTGTTTCACTCTATTGTTTATATATTGCAAATGCTGTTATTTTGTAGAGGTGAACACTTATTAAGGGTTTACAAGAATCCTCCTGCTTTATTGATTTTTGTTAGTATATAACAATCCTACTTTTATGGTTCTGTGGTAATGCATTGTGACAGGACAGAAGTAAATCAAACATGCTTCTTAAGTTTGAATTTCTGGTTCTCATCAGCAGATCCTGTTCAAGCACTTGCCTCAGACTTTGGTTTTGATGGCAGCATTAACCACACTAAGGTAGAAGAGAAGAAGAATCAGCAGAATCGTTTGGTTGCCACCAGAGAGCCCCCTCCTGTTCCTCCTCTCCCTCCTCGCAAGACCACCTTCTCTCCCACCAACCCTCTCCCCCCACTCCCAGTCGCCAAGGACAGAGCTGCTTCATTGCAGACCAAAGACTTTTACGCAAACACCAAACAAGAGTAAGTTGAAAACAAATTAATTTATGTCAAACTCTTGTTACAGAAGGAAGTAGGAAGAGTGATTAATTTAAACTGCAAGCAGCATCGAACAGCCCTTGCCAGTCGCACAGCCTCGAACTCTGCTGCCTGGCAACTTCCAACAAAGGCTGATGCGTCGGGAAATGTTTGATCATTTAAAGCTTTGTTTCACTCTGTTGCTGCTGCTAGCCCGTTCAATAATCTAGTGTTTATTTATTTTTGTGTGGGTAGCTTGGAAACTACATATCTGTTTGCTATATGGCTCATGGATTATGAAATATGCAAGAAAAAAAAGTATTCCAAATAAATGTGTGTCCTTGCAGTTTTGACAGCGTGGACCGGTCTCCTTCTTGGTCCGACAGTCCGACCACAAATACCATGAAGCGGGCCTCGATGTTCTCGACCCAGGCAGGCCAACGTGAATATGTCATCAAACATAGAATGTTAAAAAAAGAAAGCGAGTATGTGGACTTCAAAAACTTTAAGTATGTCTACTCAATCTATATATTATTATCTTTTTTACTTTCATTAAATGTAACTGAAGTTGTGGTTGATTAGATTTTTTACAGGTACTTGGAATGTGAATGGCCAGTCACCAGACAGCAGTTTAGAGGCATGGCTCAGCTGTGATCCAGACCCACCTGACGTCTATGCACTTGGGTCTGTTTTCTCATTTGTATGAAATTATTACAAACTATTCAGCCATACTTTTTTGAAGTACTTCTTATATTTGTTGTTGTAGTTTTCAGGAACTTGACCTGAGCACCGAGGCTTTCTTTTACATGGATTCGTCCAAAGAACAGCAATGGCTCGATGCTGTGGAGAGGAGTTTACATCCCAAAGCAAAGCATCGAAGGGTGAGGAACACAATCATTCAGTGGAGTAAAATAGATGAACATTACAATGAATGACTCTCCAACAGGTTCGAGTTATTAGACTTGTAGGAATGATGCTTGTTGTGTACGTTAAAAAGACTCATCTGAATCACATCAAAGACGTTGCTGCTGAACATGTGGGCACTGGAATCATGGGGAAAATGGTTGGTATCTGTTGTTGAGTAAATGTTTTTTCACGCAAATAAATTACAAATTGTCTGTTTTGCAGGGAAATAAAGGGGGTGTGGCCATAAGGTTTGTTTTCCACAATACAAGCTTTTGTTTTGTGAACTCTCATCTAGCCGCACATGTTGAAGACTTCGAACGCCGTAACCAGGATTACAAAGACATATGTGCACGTATGACATTCCACTTACTAGACCAACCTCCGCTCAATATTGTCAAGCACGAGTGAGTTCCCTATGAAAGCTTGGACTTTTTTGTTTCTTTAATTCAAAATGATTATGATCTTTTTGTATGTTTAGTGTCGTTATCTGGCTTGGAGACTTAAACTATCGTCTCTTTATGTATGATGCGTCTGAAGTGAAAGGACTTATTGCTCAAAAACAATTAAAATCACTTCAGGAAGTCGATCAGGTGAGGACATAAATTTATTCCGCGGGTGTATTATGATGCAATTTCTCACTAAGAGCAGCTTATATGGCGTATTGGAGAGGTTTTCGAAATTATGCTTTTACTTCTAGTTAAACATCCAGCGATCCACCAAGAGAGCCTTCACTGACTTTATGGAGGGAGAGATCAATTTTCTTCCCACCTACAAGTACGACCCAAAAACAGATCGTTGGGACTCAAGGTAAAGAAAGCGACTAAACTAACTCCAATTACTATGTTATAAATTTAAAGGGCATGTACAGGAAAGAGCCCAGCAGCGGTATGTACGACTAATGACTGACCTTTTTTGTCGATTTTCCACAGTGGGAAGTGCCGTGTCCCAGCTTGGTGTGACAGGATTCTGTGGAGGGGGAGCAGTGTCAAGCAGATTGAATACAGGAGTCACATGGAACTGAAGACAAGCGATCACAAACCTGTCAGCTCCCTCTTCAGCATAGGAGTAAGGCTTCACTTGTTTTGTTTTTGTGGTGATATTCAGTCATTCAATCACTTAGGTGGTGAGGTGTATCCCTTTTTTGATGTTGTGGTTGTGTTGGGAAGAAACGGAGCATTGTAAACTTCATAGACCATGATCCTTTGCGCTGCACACTGGCTAAACAACATGGTGGAGTCTGGCAAAATAAAACACTCCCAAATTTACACCTGCAGCTTTCAAGTCAAAAGCTTTGATTTGTTTGGTTGCGTGAAAAGTTGCTACAAGAGAAACTGCTACTTTTCTCACCGTGTTCTCACTTTTCATTCTCTAATTAAATGTGACTATCTCATACCATATGTTCTAACTTTTACTACTTTTACCACTATTTGAGGTTGTCACCCAATAACTATATACTTAAACTGTATGTGATAGGTCAAAGTAGTGGATGAGCAGCGCCATAAAAAGGTGTTTGAGGAGCTTGTTCGGGAAATGGACAGAATGGAGAATGACTTCCTTCCGTCTGTGTCACTCAGCAGGAGAGAAGTAAGAAACTGCTGTTGTTTATTTATTTATTTTACAATACTTTGAAGCCCCTTTTCACTTTCCTTTTCACAGTTTACATTTGAAAATGTGAAGTTCCGGCAGCTTCAGAGAGAACGCTTTCTGATCACCAATGATGGCCAGGTTCCTTGTCATTTTACTTTCATCCCGAAGCTTAATGACTCTCAGTACTGCAAAAATTGGCTCCGAGCTGAACCCAGCGATGGACTCTTGGATCCCAGTGAGTGATTTGGTTTTGTTTTTTCCAGTTACACACACTGGGGTTGACATTGATCTTTGTCTACTGATATAAGATGTGTCTGAGCCTGATTGCTGCAGTAAAGAATTGTTGGGGACCAAAGAAATGTGTCCTTTTAAAAATTTGCCACTCAGTTGCCAAATGTTTTAAATAATTTTTCAGGGATGTTCCGATACCAGAGCTTTTGCCGGTATTAGCAAAAAGTCTCAAACTTAATAAGGAATGTGCATTTCTTTTCACCTGGGGCCACAATGTGGTGTCATTTACAAGACCCTATAACATCAAAGACATTTTACATGAAGTTGTGGGGGGGTTTTGTTTTTTTTGGCTTATTTTACTATTCCTGCAAAATTTCTTCAACATTTCTGAAAAAAAAGAATAACATCTATTTTGGGACCCTTTTAGAATATCAACGAATGACTGGCTCTTTTTAGTTTTTGTCTCTCACAAGTAATTTACTCCAATCATAAGTGGGAACAATCTCTGCATAGACAAAGCTACATCTCCAAAACCTGCCTACATGGCCTTTGGTAAATGTATCTTCTCTTGTGCCGGGGGTTAAGATCTAATTGATTGTAGAATGACCACGATTATGACAATTCCCCTTTTACAGATGAGGACAATGTCACTATAAATGAGATTTAGGGACCTGTAATAACGCGCAGAGGTCCAGGTGGAATATGTGTAAAATCCCAGAATGTTGAAATGGAACATTGGGAAGTCTGCTATATTTTGATCTTTCGAGGAGTTACATAGTTATGTTGTATTAACTGGCTAATTCAAAACTAAAAAACAAAAGTAAAATCCAAAGCTGTAATTGGCCTATGGATTTACCCGGGTGCAATATAGTTTTCATTGTCTCTTAGATATGTTTTCATTCTGAAGTGTATTTCCATTTGAGATTGATATTTTTTATTTGGTCTACCCCATTTTTGAATTTAAATTATAATGGCATAACCCCTTTTAGCTGATTCCTTTAGCATGATTTAAGTATATTCTAACACGATCTGTTTTCCCCAGGTGAGAAACTGGAGATTTATTTGGAGGTGTATGTGAGTAAAGACTCGGTCACACTTCTGAACTCTGGGGAGGACTCGATTGAGGACATTCTCGTGCTCCATCTGGACAGGGGAAAGGACTACTTCATCACCATCTCTGGGAACTATCTTCCCAGCTGCTTTGGGACTTCACTGGAGACCCTGTGTCGCATGAAGAAACCAATCCGAGAAATTCCCATCACTAAACTAATTGACCTGGTAAGAAAACTTTTAGTAAACTGTTTTGACACACAAGTAAGGGCCTCAAAGACTCTAAATTGGGATGGAATATCTAATCTTTCCATATGTATACTGTATATAGGCTTCAGCTTTAGTGGCTTTAGGAATATGGAAGCTAAAATCATTCATTCATTCTTTACCTTGCTTTTGTAGTTTTTTGTTTTCATTTCCAACTTGACTTTTTCTGGATTTTGTAGTTTGAAATGATTACTTCTATCTTGTACTCTCACTTCTCTCTACTTCTTCTTTATCTTCATCGCCTTTTCCTGACTTGATCATTCATTTCCGACTCACTGCGGTGGTGGGCTGACTTTTTCTCAGGGTGAGGACAGCTACATGGACAAGGTAACCATTCACAACATTTACAACTGCTTTATGGCAGCAATTGTTAGAGTTGTTCCTCTGGACCCGTTTGTCTTTATTGTTGGGTGAAACTCAATCCAAGACACACACCTCTTTAAATACATAGAGTGAGTGAGGGTAATCTGTTTATATACACAGAGCTGGTTCATCTAGAATTCCTTGATCACTGTACCACTTTTAAGAGCATATTTGACTTACGAAAGAAGTAAATGTGGAATAAAATTACATGAACTGAATAAATTATTTGTGGAGGATATGGTTCCATGTTTGCTTAATTAGATTCCATTCATTCATCTATAAACCAAAATGATAAAATAAAACATTATCTATTGCATAACTATACAACAAGCACTTCCAATAAGTTATAATAGTAACCGATAAGAAGCAATAAAAGTAATTTAAGTAATGAATGACGGTTGGAATGAAAGCGTCTACCTCTGGGCGCCGCGTACACCCTGCCTGATTCCAAAGGCCTGAACTCCTCATCAAGGGAGGGGTTGGACAACCTACAAGAATGTCCTTGGCTTTTTATTGACCTGGACATGAAGGACAGTTATTTGTGTCAACAATTTGTCTACACTCCTTGATAAAGCTATTAAACTGATTATTTAAGTTCAGCAAATAACTTTAATTTGTTGTGCAGAACTTTTGAGTGATTCAGTCATGCACAAGTCTCAAGTTTGGAACTATTTTTGAGAAAGTTTTAACTGTTTATTTAAATGTTTATTTGTTTATTTCAATGGAACAGTGCACATTGATCATGTGTCCATTTAAATATGCCAGATTTAGCCATGAAGGCTAGTTTCCATCTGTCATCCCATGGCAGGTTGATTTACAGCCACCAACAAATAAACAAAAAGCATAAAAAGCAGGTTAGTAAAAGCAGCTGCACAGAACACACTGTCAACACTGTGATTGCAGATTTGATTGCTCACAAGTCACTGTGGTCTCTGGAGACTAGTTCCAAACTATTATGTTTCAAATTTTTCACAGTGATTGTTGTGAGTGTTATGTTTTGTAAAAGAAAGCCTAAAATAATGGATTCACCTTACGATACTGCTGATGTAATGGATTCTTCCCATGTACCACTTGTGTACTATACTCAACAAATACTGCATGTATTTTCTGTTTTTAACTGAACAAAACATATTTTTCAATACCAGGAAAAGTCAAAGGTTAATTTTCTGATCGCTGATGGGGGGATTGGTGAAGATCGCCCTCTGAATATCCCAAAAGAAGTTTGGATCCTCGTCAACCACCTGTTCACAAAGTCGTGTGCTCAGGTAACAATGATAGGAGGAATAAATCTACTCCTGTTCTCGTAGCGGTACCACACAAACCACACTTAATTTGTGGTTCGTCTTTTTATGTGTAGATGATCAAGATTTCATCATTTTTTTAATTTCAAAAAAATTTACATACTTAAACGAAACGAAAGGGAAGGAGAGCTCACCTGTTCACCTGGAAGAGGCTGTTGTTCTAACAAAAAGCTGTTCTATATTTCCTAGGAGGACCTTTTCCAGACACCTGGATTACAAGAGGAACTGCAAAACATTATTGACTGCTTGGACACAAGCATCCCAGATCTTGTCCGTATCCTTTTTCAAAAAACATTCTGGCTCATTCCTTTTGTCCCTCACAAAATAGAAACGCTCATATATTTTAGCTAGTATGTTGGTGTGTGGCTGTTTTAGTATTTTCCTAAACTTCCTTGAAGCTGGGTGTAACCACTCGGTAGCAGAAGCATTGCTGATTTTCTTAGAGGCTTTACCTGAACCAGTGGTCTGTTACGAACTCTATCAAAAGTGCCTGGAGTGCTCTCATGACAGCCGGCTCTGCAAACAGGCAAGGCTTTTATTGCTAATGTGTCGTATAATTGATTCAACAAATACAATCAAAAATCATATCATTTTTGTTGTCCCATTCTTCAGTTGATATCGCAGTTGCCTCGGGCCCACCGCAATGTGTTCCGCTACTTAATGGCTTTTCTGAAGGAGCTCCTCAAGCACTCTCACAACAACAACCTTACAGCGAGTCTTTTGGGTAGGTAGTCATTGAAAACCTTTGTGTTATTATGTGAAGAGAGATTCCCACTCTTCATTCACCCATTTTTTTCTATTTTTATTTCAGCCACACTCTTTGCCAGCTTGCTTATCCGGCCCCCTCCAAACCTTGTGGTACGGCAGACATCACACGACCGCCAGAAAGCCATTGATTTTGTCCTGGGATTCCTCATGGCAGGAGAGGAGGAATGAAACAGCGGTGAACCATGAATTGTATGCCGAACGTTTTAATTTATCGCCTTCAACCAAACGAATGCAGTCATTTTTGCACATGTCTTTCTCCAACTACGGTACAAGGATCTCCTGTTTGACTTCAACAACGTCTACATTTCTGGTCAAAATTCATATTCAAGAGTTTCTCCTGGAGCGAAATGTGCTGGATTCGGAAGGACCCGCGCCTCCAGACTAGAACTGCTTAGGTTTAGCTTGTCTCTTTTTTTTTTTTTTTTTTTTTTTTTTTTTTTTTACTACTTGTAAATGTTTAATGATCTTGGAGATAAACACTATTTGTCTGCAGTACTTTAAAGCTGGGGTACCTAATTTTCAAATCACAAAAATGTCCCTCGCTCTCAAAACAGCTTGGTTCCATTACTAGTTTTCACATGCATGCATCTAGATCAGCTTCAAACAGAACTAAGTGAGTGGGTAATCTTTATTTATATAGTGCATTTCACAGACCAGAGTCACAAAGCTCTTTTACAATTGTGGGCATTTGTCACACACTACGCTTTTGTCACACACTACGCATACACGAGGAGAACATGCAAACTCCACTCTGTTGGCCCTGTTCCAACCGGGATTTGAACGCCTGACCTTCTTGTTGAGAGGCGAGAATGCTATCCACTCTGCCACCGTGCCGCCCAATAAATAAAAGGACTACCTTCTCTCAGCCAATCAGACTCACAGGGCTCTTACAAGTGTGCAAAGGATTACATGTGTTCTAAGATGCAGGCAGCAGCATGTTGCGGTCTGATTTGTTCGCAAATTTACATTTTGTTTGTCGCAAAAGAGTCTTGTAAAAGTATTATTTATGGGGGAAGTTAGGTACCCCAGCTTTAAGAATGTTTTATCTTGTATAGAGTAAATATTGCTGAAAATCTTTAACAGAAGTTGGAATATCGGAGCATAAATATTGATTTATTTTGACAATCCTCATGCACCTCATAAATAATGATATTTGTCTTTGTACTTTTTACTTGTTATTTATGCAAATTCATTTGGGGTTTCATGAAGTTTTGTTTTACGTCGTCCTTATCATTATGGAAACACTTAACTGTTTGCTGTGACTGTGGATACTGTTGTGTATGCCAACGTTACAGAGTTGCTACTTCCTAACACTCTAAAATCATGAGAAACACATTTTTTTCTGAGTTGAGAGCTTTTCTGTAATGTGTCTGCAGTGACGTCCATTTTGTGTATGTCAATGTTACAAAGTGGTGCTGTGCTCAAGTAAACGGTACTGTTCAATTATGTTTTCAAAGTTAACGTCATGATAAGGAAAGTATTTTACACATCTTTGCATACATGTAACTAAAAGAATAGGTCAAAACAGCTGGCAAGTGAAACTAAACGTTTTCCAGGTTTTGCCTTTTTGGTGTATACATGTTTTAAATTGGGTTAAATATAATTTGTACTCATCTGACAATCATATTTTAGTGTTCCTTGCCCACAATTTTAATAGTTCTTTGAGGACAGTTGTTCTTAAGTCTTAAAATAAGTTGTTTTAGCCTTCTCTATTCTGTCCTTAAAGGTCATCAATATGACCCTGCAATGTAGTGTATTGGACATGTACCTGTGTAGTTTTGTGTCACACTGCCTTCACTTTGACTTTTGTAACTTTTAATTTATTTAACTGAAATAAAATGTATGTAACTTACTGTTTGTGGTCATGAAAATATCCTGCCCAGGCCTGAGTTCTATGTTCTTATAGGCTAGGATTTTATAGTCTTGCTTTACACAGGGTTTGTACGGCCACTCTTCGTGTACCTGACAAATCCTTAGTGGCTGATGTTGACGCTATACTTGGTTTATTGAATGTAATGTGAGATTTCTATCACCTCTGTGCCACATTGTTTATTCCAAGAGATGATAAAGGTTCCACATCTGATCTGCTGCTGCTGTTTTCCGTGGTGAGCGACTGCGTTTGTTCATGGCCATGCTACGGGTGTCGTCGTACCGAAAGCAGTTTGAAGAACAAGGCTGGGGGCGCAATGGAGGGTCCCCTCTGCAGTGTGCGGGCCAGTACCGCGCCTCCGCCAGGTCAGTGCTCTACTTTCCCTTAGTTGTGACGTAGAATATGTATATGTTAATATTGAACTCACTGACTAAATGTATAAATGTAACCAATTTATAATAAGCTTTGACCTTACAAGTACTTTGTATTCTCCCAGGAAAGCTGCTGTTGATAGTTGTGATTGTGACAAGTTTGACTTTGGAGCCTCCAGAATATTAAACAAGGAGAGTTTGAGTAGGTTTGTTCAAGACCGGACCATCATTGCTGCTCTGAACGACCGCTTAGTCAAGCTCATTGAATTGGTGAGTACTACTACCACTGTAATGCCTATACTAGTGTTAACTTAAGCCTCTGCTGTGTTCCCCCAGGCCCACTGTTTTGAGGAGGAAAATGAATTTCTTGAATGTCAGATTGTGGATTTGGAGAACAAGCTGAGCAGAAGAGAAGGATCCATTAGCTCCTCTGTGGCTGTACCAGACTCAGGGCTGGATGCAGTGGTGCAGAGACTGTGCAGAGAGCGGGTAGGGCTGTGGTTGTTTCTATGGGTGGTTGCATGCCTAAATAAATCACTTCGATGCTCCATGGGAATCCACATATATGTGCCCAGGAATGCAGGCATCCTTGTGTCTTTAGTGCTGTCCACGGTTAGAAGGTGATCCATCACTGAAGTATTAAACTGTTTTGTTTTCAGGATGAGATTCTGTGTGACAGCGAGACACTGCAGAAAGAGCTGCAGAGTCTGAAGTTGGACTGTGAGAAGGTGGCTCAGCAGAGGTCACTGCTCCAGGAGCAACGCCAGTGTGTATCCGAGGTACATTCACTGAGACTTACAGACTGACTGTGACTTACAGTAATACAAACTCTATGGTCAAACACTGTTGTCTTAGCACATCTGATAGGTTTGAAATTACATTTAGAAAGTTTTATATAGAGGTTTTACTCGCATTCAACCTGATGTACATAATAAATAGGCCAGTAAACATAAACAAACAAACATTTTAACACTTATTCGAATAAAGTGTTTACTATAAAAATGAACTGCTGCTGGTACAACATATTTTACTTCTATGTGTTTGGGTAGAGTACGTTAACCGTGACTGTTATCTTGCAACCATATTGAGATCGATTGCCACAACACCATGTGAGGACTGAAAAAGGAACTTATCAAATATATGCAAAACGGATATGATTCTTCAGCTCGGGCACTTGCTCAAGGAAATGTACCTTTAACTTTATATAAGCTAATCGCTCTAACATGCATCAATGAACAACATATACTCACAAAGATTTCACGTTTGATTTTATATATGGAATGAAATAAGTCTTTATTATTGGAAAAGAAAAACTGATTTTGTTTTACTTGTGATGGCGCCTCTATACCACTAGATGGCAGTGAAGGTTTTCATAATAATGGCCCTTTTAACACCTCAGTGAGTCATGACCAATTCATTGTGCTCTCAGATCAGCTGCAGTCCCACACTGTGGCCTCTAACCTCTGCACACCTACACTCCTTATGTCAACACAGCACCTCTTCTCTTGAACAGTGGAGGTTCAAGGGAAGTTGTATTATCTGGATCGCAGATGTACTACTCTATGTTCCTCTTTGGCTGAGAGCACTGCATGAGTATTGGAAGCAGGTGGAGGGTGACATGACTTGGTGAGAAAAAGCAGCACAGAGCAGATGAGCTGATCTTGCACTGAACACAGGCTCATTAGTGTGTGTGTGTGTTTGTGTGTGTGTGGGGTAATCTCGGTGGTACTAAACAGGCAGAATCATGCACTTTTCTTATATGCGTGTCAGCCTGTTCTATCCTGGTTCTTCTCTTATGTTCAGATGGCATGGGAATCGTACTTACATGTAATTCTTGGGTTATTATCCACGTTCTTGTTTTCCTTTTTCAGGTGTACAGGGTAAGATCTTGCTTTGATGTTTAGACCAAATGCCCTTTCACATTCCTTTACTTTAATTCAGACTTTACTGGCAGTGCATCCGTGGAGATGATATTGCTTTTCCTGATATGTTCCACATGTTATTTAAGTCATCCCCACACACAGAACCGTGTACAAGTAAGTCGCCGCTGTGAAAGGATATTCTAAGGGAGCGATGTTACATAGTGCACCTAACCATTTTCAAATAAGCTTAAGAATGATAGATAAGCTGATAATTGAACCTTTGTTGTGAAAGCCGTATCCAATGAATAGGGAAAATAAATGTCTGCTTTTGCTAAATAGGATGGAAACCCAAACCCAACCACTAAAAGTTCACAACTTGCCCTTGTCCAATTTGTTTTTGCACTTAAGAAAAATAATCGGGCTTTGAATTTGTCATCATTAAACATTATTTTCTTTTCTTTATTTGTGTCTGGGGACTATAGAAAGCATTTTTTTTCATCAAGGACCATACTATAATCAGTAAACCTGCGATTACTGTCATTCCAAACCACCCATTCTACAAGTGCTATTCCTCAGTTCTTCACCAAACCCTCTCTGCATGGCTCCAATAGATTTCAGCTTCTCTGTGTGATTGCATTCGATGCCGATTAATCCGCTTCTTTTAAGAGGAGACTGGTAAGGACCCCTGCTGGTGAATAAATTGGTGGACAGGGCCTTTTGTGTCTAGTTAGCCTTTGCAAGCCTCTCTCTACTCCCCTTTTTCCTCTGCATTGCGGTGGATACCTGCACTAAAGTAAACTTGCGTTGCGACTAACAATTATATTCTCAATTATTTCTCCTGTACATTCAAAATTAAACAAGAGTATAATGAGCGTACATTTCAAGTCTACTAATGAAAAATTTTAGCTTTTTTGTTATTTTGGCCTTCGTGTTGTGAGCCAATAATCCCATAATGTTGTCTTCATTTTATGAGAAAGCTTGTCATCTTTTACATAGTTTATTGGTGGAGAGCTGATTGGTTGAAGTGAGGTTGGTCCTTTCCTTTTCACTTTTCTGTAAATAAGATTCATTTTGTCAGTTAATTGTCACAGCAGTTCTAAAGTAAAGATTGACTAAAACCTGTTGCACTTATTAATGTGTAACTTTATTAGTAGTAGTTTGGAACCCCCCTCCCCTTAATGACCTTCAGCATTTGATGTAAAATCCATTCCCTTTTCTCTGTACAGGTGGTGGATGCAGTGACCGCTGAATGCCTGGCGTTGAGGGAACAAGTGTCTATCTATGAAGAGCAGCTGGCCAAAGTAGAAGGCCAACACGAGACGGTGAGAGGGAGGCTGCATTCAACACTGTGGCCCCATGCGACACAAGTATTTTATGGGCGAAAAGTCTCTAAATATCAGGTCAGACAGGAGTGTTGGAGACGAGCCCAGGCCGGCGGCGACAAACACAGCTGTGATGACCCCGCTCACCTTGCCAAAGAACTACAGCCAAAACGGCCCTGTTGACACTAGCATATGGGGAGGGGATTAAAACACTATTTAGTCTTAAACCATATTAGGGATTTATGTGGCTCCACAGTGAGATAAATGCGCTGTTAGTGTTAAACAAACAGATGGTCTATAGACAGTTTTTATGAAAGTTTATTTGCAAAAAAATAATACTATGTTTTAAAACTACATTCTTTAATAATGGATGATTTTAGTGCTTAAAGACACACAGATCCAACTTGTAGTGGTAAAGTACATGTAAAGTTAACCATAACATTGGGTCCCCAACCTTTTTTCCTTTAAGTAGCAATATTTAAGATTTTCATGTCAAGTCATCATTAAATGGCCCTATTATGTCAAAAGGCATTAATAAACCATGCTCTCTTCGAATACTTATTTTACTTATAACGGTGGTTCAGCCGAGATATTAGAATTTCATAATTAGCTTTACAGCGCCTAAATCTTGTTATTGTCTTCATTTCGATGTCCCGCCCTCAACTGTTTTACCAATCAGATGGTCCGTGATCCAGTCGCCAGAACCATTTAGCCGCAGCTCTAAAATAGGTCTTGTGATGATTCTCAAATAATTATTAACAAAACAAGGATTAAGATAAGGATTTCTATCGGCGCCTTTGTGAAAAAGGTGTTGGTTATTGATTTGTTGTTGACAAAACTCGTCTATTCAGACATTATGGTCCCAGCTGGATATGTCTCCATATCTGGCATCCAGAGTCAGGGAGAGTGGGGCAGGTTGCAGTACCACTTTTGGCCAGATTTTTCCATACTGCTCCTTTTATTAATACATGTTTGTCCCAAGCATGAAAGTAAAATGTCAAACAAATCGGCCCACAATATGCTGTCTTCATCTTATTAGAATACCTGTTATCTTTTTACCATATTACATTCATGTCCAAACTAGTGATCGAACCAAACTGTTTGGAGAGTGAGAAACTCATTAGATGGATTTATTTCTTGTGGTTTAAAAGCGATGGAGATCCTTTCTGTTTTGGGGATTGGAGTAAAATGAATTGAATTATGCGTTGACTGGTGTTTTATAGGCTCTTGTTACTGGAAGTACAGTATGCTGCTGCAGCTATGGTTTGGCTCTGAATAGTTCAAAGACAACAGACAAGCGCATGCATAGATTTGAGATGTATTCTTCTGAGAATGAAACTATCCTCCCTGTTCCCATGTCGACGCACACGTCTCCATCACGCTGCGTTTTCCTCTGCAGAGCGCGGCCGCCCAGTGTTTAACACACTCCCTCCGGGACACGCTCAATAACTCACGGTCCGGGAAGTGCGGCTGAATACTAAATGAAAACAGAGGTTTCTTTTGTTTTATCGCCTGGAGTTCTTATCAGACTTTTCCTCCAACAAAAAGGGAATACTATCTGATGACAACAAGATGATTAAATGTGATTTTAACAACACATGGCTAGTATTGTTCAAGAGAATTCCCCAACAAGCCAGTCTGTATATGTATGTATTATATTTTTAGATATACTTTTTACATTTATTTTATATATAGGATAAAGAGATCCTTTATTCATCCCACAGAAGGGAAATTTCAGTGTTGCATCACAAGTTACGGACAGTAGGAATGAGGAGCACAATCACAAGATAAATTAATAACTCTATACTAAAATGAAATAAAATCTAAAATCTAATTCTAGCAGAAAAAGAAGCAACGAACATAACAACATACAACTCAAGAACATCGTAACAACATACTGTAAATCTGAAAGAATGACATTTTTAGTTTTTGTTGATTTATTGCTCCACATACCAAAGGTATATAAGTAGAATTTTCTACTTACGGGTGGATAATCAAGACTATTGGTCCTCCCAATTATCAATCATTCTGGTGATACGTGCTCGTCAAATAAGACCAGAGAGTTTTGTTAAAAAAATGGAGAGGTTGCTTCTTTCCTAAAATGTGGGAAAATCCTCCTATATACCTTTTAATGGCACTAGTCTCCTTAGGATCATGCACTCTTGCAATGGCCAGTTCCAAATAGACAATGTAACTTAATGCGCATTTATGTTTTTTGTAGTGTATAAATGTAATTTATTTATTGTGTATTCACCTGCCTGGGAACTGCAGATGGAGAGTAGAAGTAATGATTTTTCAAATCTAAATGTGTGTTTGTGAGCAGACTATGGAGAGTCTTCTGGAGCCTGCAGAGGGGTCCGCAGGAGAAGTGGCAGCCATTACATTTGGCATCCCTGACATCACTCCAGCCTTGGATTTAAAGGAGTACTACTGGCAGCTGGCCGAGAGCCTGCAGGTACAGAGCATAAAACATATGAACATGTCCGGAAGACCAAATGTTTCACACTACAGCCCCTGCATACCGATGTAGCCGTCATCTTCCAAGCTAACAACATGTTTGTGTTTTACCTGAAAAAAGTGCTGTTTTTCCTTTTGATACTCGCACTCCTTCTTTTCAACGCTCTAAGCACACCAGTCATGGCAACTTGAAAATCTCATCTTTCAGTCCAGTCCCATGTTTTCTTTAGTTCTTAACATAACACTAGTGAAAATCCAAAGAATCAGAGCCCCTCCATTTTGTCTTCCTGTACGTGTGAATGTGGGAGCAGAGGTGGAACATGAGGGTCAAGTCTCTGCTCCGTCCGGTCTGACCTCTGCCCACGATGTCTGTCCAGTTCACAGGTCAAGGGTGTAATCAGACCAGGGGCCGCCTTCCCAGGGCCTGATTGCAGCTGGTGTAGCCTCGGCCTCCAACTTACTACTTTCATCAAATTGATTAGACATTCAATTACATTTTATTTGTATTGTGCTAAATCACCCCAGCAGTCGTCTTGGAGTAATTCACAATATTGTCAATATGTGTGTCCAAATACTCTATTAGCCTAGAACTGTACATGAGCTATAATGCAATGACTTTTCTCTGGGTGGTGAATACACGTACTATTCTCCTCCACCTGGTTTATTGTATAGCTATTTATCGATTTATTTCGATATATATATATACATATACTGTATGTATATATATATATAATCTGTCCTGTGCAGACTGCAGGAACTACTTCATACCTCAGGATTCCTCAGGTTTAATCTCCTGTTTTGGTAGTATTTAAGAGAATAATAAATACATTCAATTGAATGTATATTATGATCATCGGTGTTTGAGAATATTATAGATTTGCCTGTTCAATAGTCTATGAATGAGTTAAGAGGAGCTTTTAAGGGACACTGCAGACTAAAATCCACTGATCTAGGGCACTTTTTCTCTCTGCAGTACGAGTGTGGAGTTTCTTCGTCTGCCTCGATCCGCAGTGATGATGGAAAGCTACTGGAAGCTGGAGGAGCTGCTGGGTCAATGGTCAAAAGCTCGCCTCAGATAAAGGATATCGGTGAAATGAAGGCGCTGGTGAGTGGGCTTTCGTCTCTCACTCCCATCTCAAAAGGTCAAGGCACAATTTAAAACAACACGACTGGTCTTCCGGGCATTTCTAGACTTATTTTACAGCAGAGGAATAAAAGAAAGTTTGAACCTTTTTGTAATGACATTCATGTTTGATCCCCTTAGGCCGGCTCTGAAGGATCTGTAGTGACATTGTTGCAGAAAGTGCGACGGTCACTCAGTTTTGCACGTGTTGAAACATTCTCCCAACTATTAAGGTTTACAAAGATTGATATTATGCAAATTTATCTCAAATAAATAAGTTATAGGCACTCTTGGATATGTAATATATAACATTACATATCTAATAGTCTCACATTGTTGCATAGAGCGTGGTCGACTTTATCATTTAAAATAATTTCAAGAGATTTTTAGACAAAAACTATTTTTTCTTCTAAGTAAGGATGTCCCAATTCTGGTTGTTAAGTATGGGTACTTGGAGATTGAGTTACAATACCAGATTTTTCTTTTTTTTTTTTACAGAGAATTGGATATATCTGATTAGGTGATCCCATATACCTGAAGCTGAGTTTCATAATATATAGTTTTGTGCACTCTGTACCAGTATCGAGTTGTTTCAATATTCATTGTGTGGATAGGCCTTGTTTGCTTATTGTGGTGGTCAACTTACTGTACGCTCTGGTCTCTGGAACTAGGGATAAAAGTCATACATTTATTGTGGCTGGGAGATAAGCTTGTTGCATATCATTTTAAATAAATCTTTTTTGATGCATTTTTGGCCTCGTTCAATCGGGATGATTGAGCCCGCTTCCAAGATTATTCTTTCTTATTACTCAGTTAAAGTCATTCATACATACACAGTAATACATTTTTACTTCACCCGGGAAGAGAAAGCTTGTATTTCACTGAGCCATCTTGTGTGTATTCTTTCTGCACTGTTAATCGTACCAGCAGCAGATTTAGATCTTCCCGTAACACTTATCCCACCTCACTACTTACCAAGACAAGAGGGGTCTTTCCACCCGCAAATGGATCTGTGTCAGACATCAGCCTCTAAATCAGGCCTTAATGGCGAAAATGAATAGATTCCCACAGCAGGACGAGGAAGCAGAGAGCAGTGAGTGACAGTGGAGCAACAGACGGGGAGATCTCACTGACCGGCGTGTTTACTCTCCGGACACTTTCAGCCAGAGATGTGAGAGGCTCAGACTGGATTTATTGCCCTCCCTGTCCGCAGTTATTAAGTACAGCCCTGCACAACGCCTCCAGCTTTTTACAACCTTCAAAACTGCACATATAACGCGGGCTGAAGAAATAAACCTTCATCAAGTCTTATGAGCGTAAATATATAAATAGCCTTTCTAAACTTGGTCATCAGGAGTTACAGCAGCGTGTGACAGCATACATCTCCAGGCGGCATGTGGGGAAAAAAGTAAGAATAGGTTGCCTTCATGTGACGTTACAACATTTTAAAGGGCCTTTATTTTAGTGGTGGTGGAGAGCAGCTGAAAAGTCTTCACTGGTATCTATGGTAACAGTCAATAGTCAAAATTAGTTAAACTTAGTTGTCAGCCAATTTCTACATTTATACATAATCTCTTACAAAGTTTAACATATTATTTGTTTGTACATGTCAAATATGATCTAAATATTTTCTCCTAAAAATTTTGAAGTGGGTACAATATTCAAAAAATACACGTGCATGATTTTGGCCATATTCCAGCTTCTTCCTTCTGGCAGAAGATACCACTGAGATGTAGGACATCTCGATATGCTAACCACTTCTTCTGTTATTAGTTTAAACAAAGTATTGTAATGATCTTGCACTTACTCTTTTCATTGATTGATTTCACAGTGACAAATTGCTTCTTGTTAGCTTCTTTTTTTAATATATATTTGTCTGGTGCACACTAGGGCACTTTTCCACATGTATTCCAATGTGGTTTTACTGCAAATGGAAAATCAAAAAAAAAATCTGAATCTGAAAAACTGCCAGACAATAGAATAATTCTGCCGGATTGCAAATCTAATCACTCTCAAATAATGAACTGGGAAAACATCTGGTCATCTTTTTCAGTGTGTCTTTTCAAAATTGCCTCTTTCCCATAGAGTTGTATTGGCACCTGCCCTCCTATTGAAATAGAATTCTATAACATAAACGCAACCTACAAAAAAAAAGAAGCATCTAACCTCCTGCGTCTGTGGTCAGGCCGCAGCTGTCACCTGACCACATGTTGCGAACAGGAGGGTTTGGTTCTCATTACTGCACTTCCAGCTCCACATTCAGCTATTTAAATAAACATCAGCAACCGCAGCACGGCCCTCACATCATCCACTTCTCTTTCTAAGTCCTGCGCCAGTGGACAGCTCGGCCCGATTCGCTCTGTTTCCTCCTTCCACTGCCTGATGGACGCCCCGGGACTAGTTTCTCCCATAGAACTCGCAACTCGGCCAAATAAACAGATTGCAGTAAAAATTAGGCCTGACGTGTGTGCGTGTGTGTGTGCGCATGTGTGTATGTATGTAAGGGCCAGGTATCGATGGCAAAGTAATAGTAACTTCATTCGGATAATGAGCAAGTGATATGGGTTTTTCATGGCCATGTATTAACTATACGGAATGTTTAAAATACTGTTCTGTCGTACCCAAAATTCATATTGTTTGAATTTGTTACAAACACATCAAAAGGCCAACTAGAGGCAGGAGTTACAAGTTAACTGCAAGCCTTTTCTGTAATTAAAAATGTTGGGAGCAGAGTCGTCACATTATCTCTACTTTAATCTTTTCAACTAAAATAGATTTCTGGCTGGAATTATTTGCCTGATGTATCGAATAATCACTCCTCCAATTTTAGGGCGGCACGGTGGCTGAGTGGATAGCACTCTCGCCTCTCAGCAAGAAGGTCATGGGTTCGAATCCCGGTCGGACCATGGCCTTTCTGAGTGGAGTTTGCATGTTCTCCCCGTGTCTGCGTAGGTTTCCTCCGGGTACTCCGGTTTCCCCTACCACTAAAAATATGTCCAATAGTTCTGGCATGTGCCTCCTGTACTGGTGACCCCGCTCCCATCTCTGTGTGGAGTGAGAGACAAATGCCCAAAATTAACAATTGTAAACCGCTTTGAGACTCAGATCTGCAGTGAAAAGGCGGTATATAAATAAAGATTACTTTTATATAACCAATATAAAGCACCAATATACAGCAAGCTGAATGTATTGCTGATGCAGAAAACACAACTGTGGATAAACATGCATTATTTTTAAATTTTTTTACCAATGTTGATGTTTGAATTTGAGTGCTGCGATGCAAAGCGCAGTGTCAGACGTCGGGCACTGGTGGTTAAGGGTTTTCTTCTTGTGCACTAGGGGTTCTCTACTGTTTTGTAAATGTATCCTTTGTTTTTTGGTCCAAGTCTGTGTTTGGTTTTAATAACATTTCCATCCAAAACAGGTATGGATGGCATTCATTCAAAACACATTTTTTGACTCTTTGATTGACCTACAGGTAAAACTGCATTAGCGTAGAGCAGCAAATAAAACAGCATCTACGTCGTGCTCCCTGTCGAATCACATGAGCTCACAGACAGACGAGCACAGATCCACATCTGGTTCTGACAGCTGTTAGATTATTCACCACAGGACGGTCAAACAGTGGGAAAACACATGCTAGCCTTGAATTATTTTATGTTTTACTCCTAACCTGTCTTTATTGTAGTTTACTCTAACAATTGCTTGTTGCCTTGAAGGTCTCATCACTGCAAAAGGAACTAGCAGAATTGGAGAAGATCAATGGGGAACTGGAGGAGCAGGTTGACATAAACAAGGCTTTGTACGGCGAGGAGATTGCAGATCTGGAGGTGCGGCGGCCATGATTGTAGTAATCATAGGATGTAATGGACCACTGCCTTCCACTGATTCTGTCATTTAATCTCCCATCGTGCGTGTGTTGTTCAGTACACTGTAGACGAGATGAAGCACCAGGAATCTGAGCTGCAGTTAGAGATGAAGGAGCAGTGTGAGGATTACAAGGAGCTGCTGCAGGAGAAGATGGCCCGAGACATGGAGATCACTGCGTACAGGTCAGCCAACATATGTTTGTCGCAGAGAATTTCTTCTAAATGCAATCCAATTTGATTCAATTCCATTTATTCATTCTTGTATAGCCCTAAATCACAACAGTAGTTATCTCTGAGGACATTACACAACACAGATCAGAGAAAGAAACAGTTCAAACACAAGAAATAGAACAGAAAACGGGTTGGTATTGGTCCATAGGAGGCAGATGACCAATGTCCATGTGTTGATAAACGTCCATAAACGTTGTTGAATGTTGAGTGTCCTTATAAGACCCTCCTTAACAGACCCTCCTGCATCAGCAAGGAAACATTTTACTGGGAAATGTGGGCAAACAAACAGAATATACATTTTACATCATATTCTGAAAGGAGTCGTATATGTTGTACGTTGGCTTGCTCAGGGTTCCTAAAGTCTTGTGAAGTCTTAAATGCAGTGAATTGATGAATTTGGAAAATATATCTTTAAAAGTCTTTGAAGAAGTCTTTTTTTTTATCCCCTACTCCTCAAACGAGTACTTTATATCTCTGTCTAAGAGGCACATTGTCTTTTTGGCTTTCAACACCAGGTAGCAAGATGTTTTATTATTTTCATTTGTATACACATATTTTTGGTATTCTTATGTGTTTTTATCATTGCTGTTTTCACTTAAAAACCTTTAATCTCATGGGAGAATGGACAACTATTAAAGTATGCCAAGAGAAAGTTCAACCAGTGGCAAAGAAAATCGGGATTTCCAACAAGCCTCACTTGGGAAAACGATTTCACATGGATCAATGATAAGGAATGATGGAAGGATACAATTAAGCATTCCTAAGTCTATTTTGCATATTATGTTTAAAAGGAGTGAGGTAATACTGCTTATGTAAATATGTATCCGTAGACCATAAATGTGCTTGTAGGTCATCCGTATTCATCCTGACCCCTGACTCAAAACCACACACAGACTCTATTCTATCACATCCCCATGGTTTAATTAGTTGTTATTGAGAGTGTCACTCAACATCTCAACCTGAACTCGACTCTATTCCAATAAAAACACTCTTATGATTATGAGTGCTGATCAAAGCTGACCTGTCACCACCACTGCAGGCTTGACAATTAAAGCCTATGAAAATTCAATGTGTGAAAATGTTAAGTCTTTTGTCCAGGGTCAGGTGGAAAGTGAAATGGTAAAATGTTTAAGGAAATACACCTTATGAATATACACTTTGACAATGATTGGCTTCATTGCATCATCTGTTTACGAGGGACATTCTTGATAACTGTCAGTCGAAAACCGCATCATTGTCTTTGGCCCCAGTGACGAGGGTAAAGACAATTTCCTTTTGTATATCTAATATTGTCAGCTCCATCTGGACATCCGCCAGCTCGACAGTAAGATATTTTGGCAAACAAAAGGCTGATATCACAGGGTCACAGGAAACAGCTTCTGAATATGAGGCTGTTTCCTGTATTTGCCCTTGAGGAGGACTCAAGACATGGGAGACTTCTTGACCATCTGTCTTTGTGGTATGTGGAGTGACGCACGTCAACCTGCGGCCACAATCCTTTTGCCATTGTCCAGTCACCCCACAGTGTGATCCCTGGGGCTGTGTTGCGCTGGGCCACTGTAGTCTCATTAGAATTGACAAACAGGACCTCACACTGTCTGGACAGAGCTGGACCAGAGCCAGCACCAGTTAAGAGCAGTCTCTGCCAATACTCACACATTCACACAGTTTTGATGCTTCACAGCACTTGGTCAACATGTCCTTCTCTCTTTATTTACTGTTTTTTCAGCCGTGATTAACAGCATGAATAAGAAATGAAAATGTCTCTCATATATTTTTACTGAAGTGTCTGCACGGTATAGTTGCAATGACCCTGGCTGCCATTAGCAGGTGCTTTATGGCCTGTGAATGCGTCGCACAGTGTCTGGGTTGATGCTCATGGCTAATGTAAAGCTGTCATATAACATCCTTACTCATATAGCGGAAAATGTAGCGGTGTCCTAGGATTCAGTTATAAAGATGTGGATTTTCTTGTGTGTGTTTTTTAGATCTACATTGTCGTAATACATGTTTTTATTTGGACAGTATTTGAGTGGAAAAAGCGGAAACGGAATCAAATTTTATTAAATAAATATTTAGAATGCTTTTTTTTTTTTCAAAGTGTGTGGAAGGTTGAGAAGCGTCTTGTATCTGTGGAGCTGGCCGAGCATGCGCGCCCTTTTTGCGTGAAGAATGCACAACAAAACTGGAATTCATGCATGCTATGTCTTGCTTATATACAGGGGTCTGGTGGAGGAAGAGGAGAGGAGATGGTGCATCCTGTGATCTGGGCCCAGGAGCAGAGGAGCTGCGCTGGCTTTGTAGACTGAGACTTTGTTAAATACCACATCTCACAAAACGTCTGGAGAAAAGTAACATTAAACACACCACTGAAAGCATTACAATATGGCTGCAGTGAATAAACGTAGCGACAGTTTAAGCTAAACCATGAGAGATTAGCATGTCTGCGTACCTAAGCTGGGTCATTGATCACAGGGCCACAGCAGATGACCCCTACACTGTGAGAGAGATGTCTGTTATAGTGTGGTGCCATGACTGTGTGTCCACCTAACGTCTGGTAGTGATACGTTCTTCAAGAGACTTTTTCTGCAGGCCTGCTGATAAGATTCATAATAAGTTTTGTCCAGTTTTTGTTGAAGCGGTCACACACGGCGACATTCTCTGCAGATAAGAAGCCGAACAAAGCTCAGTGGCTCCAAGCGTCACAGTGGCTCAGATACAGCCTGGTCCATCAGTCAAACAGGGCCTGATTACGGCTCTTAACCCCTGCCCTCTCCAGTGTTAACCAACATACTGACATCTCTCTCTCGACTTGAACAGCACATTATAACACATACAGTCATAAATTCAAGTCCCCTCCAAGTGTTTGTTTTGTAAATGGTTCATAGAGCTCATTTGTGCACCTGGACTTTTTTCTTCAGTTCAGCTTTCTGCTTTCTTCTCACTTTCTGGTCATTATAGGAGTATATGAAAGTGTTCATTATGTTGTGGTGGAACAATGTTTAAGGTTTTGTCTCAAGTTAGAATGCTATTGAATAAAGCTGAATAATGCTTCTAAATTATGTCCTTGTGATGTAAATATGGTGTTATTCTAGAGTCATCACATTCATATTTAACATGTTTTTCAAACACAGCCATGTTTACTGACACATTTCTTAGTGTCGGTGATAGACGTGTAAAACTATTTAATATATTTAAGTTAATTTGTTATTTTCTCCTCCAAATAACCAGATAAAGTAGAATCTGTAATAAGTCATAAAAGTATTAATCCCCCCATGTAGTAATGATTAAGCCTCAACACAACCCTCATTTATGCACAACATCAATTAGTCAATCAATTTACAAAACCAGGACAAAGAAAACAAAACAATCAGGGAAGAGGTACTGATCCTGCAGCAATAGAAAAGCTGATACAAATATTTTTTTGTGTGTGTGGTGAAATATGCATCTTTGTGGAACCTTTGTGTCTCACACTTTTGTACTTTCCCAGCCAATGCCCATGTCCCTCCTCACAGGCCTCAAAGCGGTCCCATAAAGATAAGATGCTCCTAATAGCAAGTCGGATAAGATTAGAGCTGCCCTGGCTCTGCAGTCTCAGATCGGCCCAGTGTCTTCAGTGTGAGGAGGGAACGCTGTTGAAGCGGTAATTGTCCTGACAAGGAGCCTGACCATTGACTGAAGCAGCGCATTACAGACCACATTCTGCTAAGGTCAACAACATTTGCATATACAGTAGAGTTGCAACTCCACACAGACCCTGGGAGAAACATGCAAACTCCATTCAGAAAAGTGCAGACCTGAGCGACAGGAGGGTGTTACAGCTGATTATTTTACAGTACCTGGGGGAAACCTACAGTATATGCTTCTTGCTGTGCTAGAAGCACAAGTGCCAACCGATTTGCCACCATGTCACCCATTTAGATCCAAAAAAGACAAAACGTGGAGGAATAACAAGTTTTTATATGTACTGAGGTACATGAAGACTGAGGTTCTTCCCTGCTGATGATCTGCCAGGCCGCTATGTTATGATGCTCTTAAAGTGCACAGAATTCTTCTTTTTAGGCATGAAACATTCTGCAACAGGTCCCCAATATCTTTTCATGGCATTGTCCATCTCCGCCATCCAATGAGATTATTTGGACAGACAATATTGCCATAAACACACAGAATTCCTCTTGCTGTCGTCACGTCTATAAATACAATGGAATTGGTTTCATCCTTGTGCTGTATCTGCACTGAGTCAGAGCGATAATGAAGAAAGCAGGCCTTACAAAATTTCTGAGCCCTCAAAGAGGGAGGCACTCATGAAAATGCTTGCCTTTCATGAAGGAATTTTAAAACAATTTGTCCAACTCTTAACCATACTTAGTATTGGATTTTGCTCACAAAAATCTGTTTGACTATTTTTATGATGTGCTCCATTATTTTGTTGTTCTGAAAACAATTTTCCACGAGCCGTTTTCTGAGCCAGTAATTGCAAATACACCAAAACAATGTAAATAACCCATTTAAATTTCACTTTTCTCCTGAGCCAATACAATTACAGTACTATTTTAATCGTCTCTGATCTTTTATATGCCATTATGTGAATAGCAAACATGTGTCTATAAAAGTAATAACTCATGTGGATTATAGCTCCAACATGCAGTCTTCTGATGATGCAGTCTTCTTCTGATGCAGTTTTCTGATGATGCAGTCTTCTTCTGATGCAGTCTTCTGATGATGCAGTCTTCTTCTGATGCAGTCTTCTTCTGATGCAGTCTTCTGATGATGCAGTCTTCTGATGATGCAGTCTTCTTATGATGCAGTTTTCTGATGATGCAGTCTTCTGATGATGCAGTTTTCTGATGATGCAGTCTTCTGATGATGCAGTCTTCTTATGATGTCTGTGACAATGGCATGTTCCTCTGAGCCTGATAAAGTGTGTAGGTGACCCTTTTGCCCCCGTGCCCCCATCCACAGTCCATGACAACTGAGAGAAATGCACATTAACCTAAGAGCTGCCCTGTGACATGCGGTGGCCCCGGGCAGCACCGGAGCGACTCTGCCCCCTCTCACCCACAATTTGATTTTGAGCCTCTACTTTCAAAAGCTAAGTCATGCACCACTGATCGGAGAATGGCTTGCTCTCTTTTATTTCCTTTTTTCTTTCATGCTGTTTCAGATTGGATAGAGAAGTGGGGAAGGACAAAGGTGATAGTCTGCCCAACACCAACAAACACAAGTCAGAGCTGGAAATAGATGAAAGGTGTTCGTTCTATAGCACAAGACTGAAGCTTTTAGGTCAGCATTTAGGTCCTCAATCATCAACTCATCTTTGGATCAGCTTTATCAGACAGTGTAGTGAAAAAGAGAGAACCACTCTCATTCCGCCTTCAGCCTTAAGAGTCAAATGGTCACTCACAGGGTTCTTTCTTTCATATGAAAAATATAAACTTCTTACTAATAAGATGAATACAGCATCTGTGTCTGATTTATTTGCAGAATTTTACTTTTATTCTCTCTGTTGGGACAAACATCATGCAGTGTTGTCCATGTTGGATCATGTGTGCCAGTTGTAACAACATAAGTGAATAGACAGATGTAGGTTTGTCAATTAAAATATTAGACAGAATAATCAAAAGAACAAGAAATGTTTTAGTTTTGTCTTGGAACGTAATAGTTATCAAATACCTGAAGATTCAAAAACACAGCACAGTCACTTTGTTGATTTCATAGCTCTAAAACAAAGAAGGATTTTTCAATATGATCAAGGTTCATTTGGAGTATGCCTTTTCCCTTTCTTTGGAAACACACAATTCTGATTGGTAATTGGTGATCTGGACCTTGTTTTTCTGCCTTCTACTTCAAGGACATCCGCTGTGCCGGAAATGTCTTGAAGGTTCCTCCAGTTAAGACGTGTGCAACCAGATAAAACCTGAGGTAATGCAAGCCGTGATCAGCTGTTACCTCTGGATAGGTCCCTCTAAAATACCCCGATCCCTCCAGGTTCACCCACACAAATAAACACTGTCTTCTTCCAGGACATAAGTCATTTATTACAGTCTCTTCAAGGCAGCGACGACGTGCCCAACCGGTCCACTGTTTAGAAAGCAAATAAACAACCAGAGCTCCGGGTCAAATCAAGGAACAAAATAAGAACAGTGCAAATATACAAAGGAGAATGAGCTATTGAGAAAGTATTTCCTTAACAAGAGGAGAGCGCATAATAAATTAAGGGGCCCCAATCCCAAGAGACGCAAAGGGCACGTAGGGTACTCTGAAGTGGGCATCCTTTACTTTATATAGGATTGAAATATTCCAGTGTGGGAGCAGCCAGCGATACAAGTCCCTTGGGAAACTCTCATTCAGATTCTTTATAACATTCTATGCGTTTACAATAAAAATACTGGTAGTGTGACCGTGGCTTTTCCAGTCTCCCATCTTGTCATCGGGGCAGTTAGGGCCCTCCTTGTATCTACAGAACGGTGCAACTGAGGAACTGCTGACAGGAGTAACCCCAAACTTACCCCACACTCCCTCACGTCTGTCCCAAAGCAGGTGGCCAACGCGCTCGCTCCGCATTACTACTGCTGCTTATCTTTCCCCCAGCATCTTTAGAAAAATGATGAGGGGGTTTTTGATACTCTTGTAGGACTGCGTAAAAGTTTTGGACGGAATAAAAGGACAAATAGAGTACTGACACATTTACACATTTCTGCTGGAAACTGTTGAAATCCTAGTGAGATCTTTCAGAACTTGTTCATAAAAAGTGTGGGAAAAGTGGACCTATTGTATTGCTCAGAATGACGACCTAAACAGTGGTCACTCTTTCCTGACATAAGAAGTTTAATATAGTTAGAACCTTTACTTTGTCTGTCTCGTCAGGAAAAAAAAATTATATTGCGAGTAAAATGTTGAGAACAAATCAGACCCAACATAATCAAACATGTTGCATTAATCTTTTTAGATCATTGTTGTGACTACCTTATCACTATTTCACTTTTTGAGCTGAGAGTTGATTGGCTGAGTGGGCATGGTTTTCTTATTTTCACTCTTCTGTTTGAAAAAGCTGATCCAAAGATGTTACAAACTGAATTATATGTGCAATCTGAAAACTATTGATAAAAAATTAATAAGAATCACCTGTGAGATTGACTGTTGGAGAGTGGCCTTGGATGTCAATAAAAGATTTGAATTCATTGCTCCCAAACAGAAAGCTGTGTGGCTGGGTCTAACTGGTGCTCATGCATTTAACAAACGTCTCTCCTGTTTTCACTTCTTGA